CTGAGCTGTTTGGACCGGACCATGTCTGGCTGCGGAGGGGTTGTCTACATAAATCCAGAGCCTGTCTTGGGCGACTTCAGGGGGTCATTTTCACCAGCAGACGGCCTGGGCAGGACAAGCATTGGGCCCCTCAGTGAAAGTGAGGAGGAGGAGGAGGAGGAGGAGGAGGAGGAAGGTCAAAGGAAGATTGACAGCGAAGGAGGACAGCATAGTGTCTTTGAGAGAGACTGTACAGAACTCGACTTGACCCTCATAGAGGAGAATTAAGAGTTAAGTGATGGCATCCAGTGCCCTATGGGAGAGGCTCTCAGGAACACAGCTGCCCTCCCAGGGAACTCAGACTGGGCTCTATAATCACAAAACAGATTAGGCTAATATAAGATTAATTAATGCAGGTAGCCATGGACACTGTCCTTCCAGCAAAATACATTCCAAAATGTGAGGCCAGCTGCAGAAAGTCCCACTAAGCGCTAATGATCAGGAGGTCCGACAACATCTGCCACTTCTCCCCGAGAGCGAGCCTGCTTTGGTCACTTGGCAAGACGCTCTTCAGCAGAACAATGGTTACCCTGGCAGACTGGCGCGGTTTCCATCAGCCAACCCCTGGCTTTTCAGCTCCTTTCATCCACCTCTTTTTCTTTAATGAATTGACAGCTTTGTTTCTGGCAAAAACGCAGTACTACGATGCACATTTTCTGCTATCTTACTACCTGATGAAATGAATTTGAATCAGCATAAGCCTTAACACAAAAAAGCCAGATTTTTTTTCCTTTTTAAACCAACAAAGGAGAATGTGTAGCTGTTATGAAAGTTTAATTATTTTTGCTCTTGTTTTACTTCTGTGATGTTTATTTCTGACGTCAACAATTCAAATTTTGACTCTGGAAAGGATAAAAAAAATGTATGATGAATGCAGTGTTGTAAGCAATGTTTAAACTGCAGTCATTCTGTAGGGCACAATTGTACAGTGATCGTTAGTTTAAAAAAAACAAGTTTGTGTATAAAGAGACCAGTTTAGGTTGTGGGCAGTAACCTGTCAGAGAGGATTTGTATTGTATGTTACAAGAAGGCAATTTCCTCTTATACAGTTTGTGTACAAATAAAGTTTATTAGAGATTAATTTTACAAAAAACAGTTGGCGTAGAAAGTTTGTTTGTGTGTTTGTACTATCATAGTTTGCAATGAGTACCCCCAGGTATTACACCTCCCCCAAATCTGTCTGTTGGAAATACTATCTGTGAAATAGGATTAAAATTGACTTGAATCTGCTTGAAGGTTCATACTGTGCTGGTGTGTGTCAGCATGTCAGTGCTAAGTTGGCACAAATGGACATACACCAAATGGTCAAGTAAACCATTACCAGATCACGTTAATGTGTTTCTGCATTGTAAACAGTCAGGATCCTTCCTGGAAATCCTTTTTAACAAGCTCAAAGGCATAGCAATACAACACATAGGTATTTACAATTACAGGCAGGCCAGTCTGCCAATCAAACATTTAGAAGCTAACGGACTGAATTACTTCGTTTCTAGAAAGAAGGGCTTGCAGCCTTTTAATTATATCGCTCAAAAATAGTCGTCAAAGCAAGGTACGGGAGTATAGTGACCTCTAGTGGCCCAAATGGTCAACCTCGAGCTGGTGGTAACTATTTACAAAAAGCAAGAGGCATTTACTACCAGTGTTGCATGCAAACTCTGTTTACTATTTTAAATATCAAAAACGATTAGTTGTGTATTTTTCCTGATTTAGAAGCAGACTCGACTTGGACTGCTGCTAAAGTCAAGAATACTTGCAGTTTCTTGTGGGTAAAAGGGGGCGCTGTTCTATTTTCGCTTCCTTCATATCGGAGGGGACCCTCTCTTTGTGCGTCATAGAGGCGTCCGCGGCAGCCTGACCTCCGCGAACCGGCTGCTTCCTCTTTTTCAGTTTTTATGGCGATAAGGAGTGAGGGAACCGTGCAAACTCGCTCACGCTGTCTTGGCACGACCGAAAGACGCCGCAGGTAAATAGCCTGCCGGGATCGCACAGTGCAGTGCGGAGGGGTGCCGTGGAAACGGATTACACGTTTGCTCTGTATTTTAGGACGAAAAAAGTGACTTTTGTGCTACTCCTATCTGCCTGCGAAGATCTACATAGGCTTCCTCTGCTTGTTTGTCTGTGCCCCCCCGCCCCACCACACGCAGCGCTGCGCGGACAGTATTAACCCTCGCTTGTGATCTCCGCTCGACATCCCGCTGCGTTTCCTCGCATGTCCTAATACATGGCTTTTAACATTTAAATTTTAAACAGTGCTGTCTGCGAGCGATGTTTCCACGGCTAGACGGAAAAAACGGTGGACACAAGCGGCTTTAGCTGCCTAGAAAGCTGCTGCTATTTTTTCAGTAAAAGTATTGAGCAGTGTAAATCATGTGCAGTGCAGACGAAGGAATAACTGATACCTGCAAATGTATTTTTACTTGTATCTTTTTTGCAAATCTGATCGTGGAGTTTTTCAAATTTAGTATCCATGTATAATTGATCTAAAATATTCCGCAGGTAAATAGCCTGTCGGGATTGCCCAGTGCAGTATATTTGATCTATATTATACATATGTGAAAATTAATGACAACTCGACATGCCTTAGTTGCGAGTGATGTTTTAGAAAGTCATTCCTCCTGATTTCCTTCTATAATCTTCAATTTCGCTATGCTCGTCTGTCATTGGCTCCGGTTACGGACGTATCGTGCCTTTACCGGAGCCCCGCCCCCTCTGACGTGCCTACCGCCGTCGCCTGGAGACCGCGCGGCTGTTCGCGAGCTCTGTTAAAGTCCGCTCGATGTATTTCAGCGTCCGCTTTGCTGTTTCTGTACTTAGTTTTGTCTTTCGTTCTCTCCAGTTCGTAACTGCAGTCCGTTTACCAAAACCAGCTTGCTTTGTAATGTATCGTTTCTCTCGCCTGCCTTGTAAGGCGTAGTGTTTGTTCGTATTTTGCCTCGTCGTTTATGGTTTACTTCCCTACAAGGACAAGTTTTTGAGCCACTAAAACCGAAGAATTTTCGTTTCTGCTGCATTTGGTTTTATTTCTGTGTGCAAAACATGAGTAACTAACAATTTCATATTATTTTTCAGCAATATAAGTGTTTTTTTTCTCTGACCTGAAACTTCTTATGAAATAAGCAATAAATCACATACGTAATGCCGTACGGAACATGGGAAAAGTGTCAGGCGTTTAATTTTTTGGCTTTATGTTTATGACGCGTTTTTGTGGCGTCATTGTGCGCCCCCGCTAACGAACGCTGCAAATTTGTGGCCGCGCAGCTCTGGACACACTGCGCATGATCGATTCGCTGGTGTCCACTTTAAATAGCAACATGGATGCTTTTGACGAGCCCTGGGGTGGTTTCCAAACACTACAGAATATTTACAAGGTAATAAAACTGTTATATACATGTAAAGGCGTGTGTATGTGAGTGCAGACTTGTCTCGAATTGAGAATCTCACGGCAGTCAGCTGACCAAATTTGGCAACTGCCTCTGAATTTGTAAAACATAGAGAGAGGGACGTACACTTCACTGCTGTGGTACGTGTGCAGGGAATATCAGAATAATTTGTATTATCATTAAGAAAAATATAAATACAACACGTTGTGCGCATATACAAAGTACCCGGCTTCACCGGAGAAGTATGAATGTTTCCGTGTACGCATATATAGAGTGGATACTCCAGTGTTGCGCTTTTACTGAGACATATGAACCAGCCTTTAATTCCAATTAATACTTCACTTTTCCGCGTGCGCTTTCAGTTGCGGACGAGGGACGTAACGTAATATTCGTCATCAGTGGTTGGCTGCTAACAACTTCGGTCGGTGCGCGTGTAGCCCAAATTTTTATGTTTAGCGGAAACCTTGCACGTCGACTGCGCATGTGCAAGTTAATTGACCAGTTATATCCAGTAGGTGGCATGTATGTAAACTTTGTCCTGTCAATTTGTTCAGCTCACAACAATAAATATCAATAGCTCTGGAAACATCACCTATATTTGTTCACAGACAAACTATGGGGGACAGTGCTCACCATGTAACTTCTATAAATGTGTGTTTATATGTATTTTTTAATAATGGCACTATGTCAATTCACCATCAGTAACTGTAAACAAGACAACTGGGCTATGGAACGTGAAATGCATACAAAGACATTATTTTGGTTTATCCATGTTGTCATGTTGCAGCAAATAGCAAGTGGTCAAGTGTAGTGGAGTCACAAAACTATTGCAAGGGAACACAAAACGATTTCAAAAAGTATTTTCCCACCCTGACCTATTAGAGGCAGCGTATATTCCACCTATGTCTTGATTTTTAATGATTTCTACCCAAAATCATATTTTATCACAAGAATCGGAATAGTACTTTCAGTAAATAATGTGATCAGGCAGAGGTAAATATTAAACATATCCATCCATCATCTTCCACTGGATATTAAACATATTTACTGTCCAAATTGTTTGTGAGACAAAGCCAACATTAGTTAATTATTTTTTACAAAAGAAAGTTAGACTTGAAACTTGAGGTTATAGACTGTATCACATCCTGCTTTTGCATAAGCTTCATTCACACTAAGGAGACGACATATGCCCTCTGCTGGTCTGGAGGACTATAATTGCAGTACTTATGCGCATCTTAGCACATTGACCTCCGTACCCTTGGGTAACTTGTATTTTTGCGTTGATCCACAGGGATCTCTGATGAGTAGGTGAGGGGGAGAGGCGAGTGAATTTGCAAGACAGAAGGACACTGCTGTGGACACCTTAATCCTCCCGGTAAGTGGGAAGGATGAGCAAAACCCTGCCTGAACCCACAATCACTGGCTTCCTAATGCCTTGGATGTGCCCACCCTTCCTCCTATGTTACTGCCACATAGGACCCTGTAGGCAGAACTGAGGTTTGACTTATGTGTGTTGTCCTTGTTTCCATGGCAGGACTTGTGGCTGTGTGCACTTCCTCCTCAGTGTCTGTGTTAGTGTGCGCTGCTGTGCTGCGTGGTTCTGTCGTGCCTCCCTGCCCTGCCCCAGGTGACGAGTGCCGGTCGATGGCTATGATGGACAAACTCAAAGTCAAGCGACAGAGACTGGACCGCATCTGTGAAGGTTAGTACCAGGACGATCCCAGCAGGTTACTGGGGATATAAATGTACATGGCATTTTTTTAACATGTCTATACTGGCATTATTTTCCTAATACTGGAAATATTGCAAGGAATTTGCTTCAGGTAGTCAAATGTACAAAGATCGATTGTGTACCTTTTCTTAATTTGAAGTTTACCAAATATTTTCCAGTAAGATCATGTTAGAACTGACAGGATTATTTTCCCAAAATCTACCTCTTCCTGTCAGAGTGAGACCACCCAGGACCCTCCTGTGTCACTTCATGCTGTCAGTTTAACTGGATTCCCCCCCCCCCCCCCAGAACATTTCTCCTCCACGGAAAAAGCCTGCAGGAAGGGAATGAGCCGGCCGATCCCCCCCCCCCCCCCCGCCCAACTGGCAATATTTCTTTGTTCAGTGTAACCCCACATTCCAGTTTGGGAAATGGAAAACCATGTTAGTACCAAATCTCCCATGACAGTCGAGCCATTGAATAAACAAAACCTCCTTGAGTGTTTCTCGTAATAGTAAAATGTGTGTCATGTGGTAAATATCCACATAAACATGCTGGATAGGGAACCTCCCAGCCACGTCTGAAGTCAGTTAAAATGGCAGTAAATTAGCTTCAGTGTTATGCTCTTAGAGATGGTGCATGCTGTTGATATTAATTTTGCGTACCACATTAATACCACATTAATTAATGTGTGCGGAGGTTCAGTGTGTGTCTCTGTTTATAAGGATCTCCTGCTTTTGCTCCTTCAGCATGCTTAGATGCCAGTTCATTTCTAAATTGCCCATAGTGTTGGGCTGCACGATATTACGTTGCAATTATGTGGCACATGAGCAGTAATCACCAGGACTTTAGATTAGAGATGCACTGAACCGATATTCGAATGGAACGCTAACGCTGCCCCTCAGTTATTTTTGCTACTCAGTGGGTGTGAGTACAGTGACTTCCGCCTGCTGTGATGTCATGCGCATGCCCTTCGCAGTACGATGAGCGTAAGATAAGACGTGATGATCTGGGAGTATTTTACACTTTTAACAGAAACCAGTAGCACAGCGATTTGCAATCTTTGTAAAATAAAGTTTTGAGAGCTGGGAATAGCGTTTAATGGACAATCCCACTTAACAAAGCGCCCGCAACTGCGAGATGAAAAAAAAAGCAATGGATGATTTGGGAGTCGCTAACCTTGACTGTCCTGTGAACTCACTGCAGCTTGTGATACAAGAGGGGCTGCCATCGCAACAAAGAGTAACTGAGCTGACGCCAAGGGGAGAAAAATTGTGTTAAAATTTTAAGCATTTGCCACTTGTGTATACTTGTTTTGAAGATATTCATGTTGAACTGCAAATGCCTCAAGAGTGCTTAAAACAAGATGTACAAACTTGGTGGAACAGTACGTTAAGTATGTTTGTAGTAGCCTAATATTTTTTGTCATACATTTTTTCCATCTGTATTTACTAGCTTAAAAATTAATATATAAAGTATAACAAAGTAAAAAGAGCTTTTGTATCAGAGTCTGTATCGTAATCGGCAGTTGTGCATCGGAATCAGATCGTAAACATTTGACCGGACGCTGGCTTTTCAGTACTATACGGACGTTTACTAACGGCCAAAATTTGGTAAGCAGATTAGCAGTGCGCTTAAAATATTAATTAGGGGCGTATTATGACACCGAAAAGTTAGATATCTGTATAGATTTCTTATGTTTAATAAACTACAAAGAGCACCGCCACAGTAGTAATGTCTTTCTACCTTGTTTATCCACAAAATTTCCTCTTTGAAAAGATGTTATGGCTGCTGAGCTGTCCCTTTCTTCACCGCCGCTTCTGTCATTTACCAACACAGGAGCATGTGGGATATTCTCGCTAACCACATTTATTAAACACTGGGATACGTTTAATTTATACAAACTGCTAACTTTTGGATGCCGCAATACACCATGCTTTAACATTTTAGGTGTACCTGGTGGACTGCCTATCAAAAGTAAACACCCATATAGTTCTGAAAAGCTTGCATTCTGACAGCCTGGCTAACGAGTAAATTAGCAAGAAAACAATAAAAGATTGAAGGTTTCTGCCCTGAGGGACCTGCTTCCTTATTCTAGGTACAAAATGTCAAAAGGCCATTCACAGGCTGGTTTTACTGTTGTCATCTCAAGTTTTTCTACTGTTGGTTAATTTAACAAGAAGGGCATGCTGTCTAGTCCTGTTGTCCTGACCTGGCTGTGTACAGCACCTTGAAGACAGAATTTTCGCAGTTTAGCATTGGCCTGAATGCTCCTGGTCTAGAGGAGCATGTCAGCAGGCATTCCTGATCCGTCATCTGCTGTGGCAGCTATAGCAATGAGCTGCCTGCGAATTTCCTGTGTATCATGTGATGTATGTATTATCACTGTCATAATGAGTGTTTCTCTGTGGGTATATCAGTCATTCTCACTGTGATGCCTTTCCTATCATGGGATACTTCTGGGGTACACATTTTTCATCCTCCATCCTCTCTTACTATGTCACTATGAATGTGTTCAGAAGCAGGAAGCTGTTTTGACTCTGTAGTAGTAGCCTATCTTGAAAACCTGCTTGAGGAATCACCCTGGTGGTATCTCAGATGGTTGTGGGAGGACCATGGATAGAAGGGAGTCAAGAGATTGTACACAACTGTCAAGTAGATTAAGACATGGACAGTATAGAGTCAGTCAAATCAAATTTTATTCAGTCGATCATTATCCTCAGAGCGTTTTAGAGTACAACCATCCAGAATCTTTGTGGGAAGAATTCTTAGTCTCAGGTGGGCAAACCACTATTTGTCGGTCAAAATTTTGACAGCTTTTACCCGTGAAGAAAGATTCCTGAACAAAAATACTGATGTTAGTTGTGTGCAGACTTAGCCTGAAGGACTTTGAGGTACTGAAAATATGCTGCTGGAGCCTGAGCAGCAGTGGAGGCCGTTTGAGGCGTCTGGCCTCAACGCGAAAGTGCAGCATGTTTCAGATCCACCAGGAGACTCTTATGGGACCTCAGGACCAGTCTAAAAGCCTCCCCGTCAAACTTACAGCAGAGCTTGCGTGGGTTGTTTTGGAAGGACTGCTGACAGATTCTGCACAGTGCAGGTGTTTCAACCTGGTGGAAGCCCGCCTCAGGAGAATCCCATCTGCAGCACCTGCCAACTGTTGCCATAGGCAGTTTAATTTCATCAGCTCTTAATTTGTCTAACTGCTATCGCAGAAATTGTCTTGTCTGCTCTAAACTGAGTGGATGGTTTAAAAAAAGTCGCCTAACTAGATACATGGAAAGGACCGATCATAACCGTATGAAATTTGCACCAGTGCTTTTTGATAGCTGGTTTTTATAGAGCTGGAGTGTTTCCTTTGCTCTGACTCGTCCTTGTATAGAGCACGCCAGGCATTTGCTGAGTATCTCCTCTCTGCTGAGGAAGCAGGCTGTTTTAAAATTAGACGGCTTGGCCAGGTTGTACTTTGCTCCTGTAAACATCAATCTCCATTATCGAGGGTATTCAGCATCTTGTCATAAAATGCTGAGGTGGTGTTTTTCGCTGCTTCCTGTCGGGAAAATATCGGCTGCCTCCCGAACGGGTTTCGCATCTGTGTTGGGCTTGGATGCTTTCCGGTGATGGTCCGGGGCTATTTGCAGAGGGAAGTGGAGCTGCGGAGCTTGAGATGGCGGCTTCCCATTACCCGCTTGCTGAACTACGCAGGAAGCGCAGGCCGTCTGTGCAGCTCGTGTGCTTCTTAAAGTCAACCAAAGGTGGCCGGTCAAATTTGGGGCTTGATCCTTTTGAGCTGGCAGTTAAGGTATTAAGAGCAAGATAAGAAAGTAGAATGATTAGCCAAGTAATAGGATCCAAAAATGCTGAGAAGGGATTATTGATTTTGAAGGTTCTGCAGTAAGTATGCTGTAATATTAAAGGGAGATTTACATGTACTCATTCTCACATTTGATCAGAGACAGCGCAGGCTGTAGGCTGTGTTCCCAGCGGGTGGGTGTAATCGAGACTCTATTCAAGTTCGAAATGTACCCCCAGAACTGTGACCCTGTGAGCAGTAAGGTGGGACGCGGTCCTTCCTGTCCGTGGGCGGAGTCGCTGCTGTTTCTCTATCTGAGATGCGTACCAGTCAAGAGGTCAGCGTTTGAGGGGATACCACCAGTGCAGTTTGGGGGAGAGCCGTATTCGTTCGGAGGTGTGTGTGGGTGTGTGAGAGTGATTGGGCACCACTGGGCTGACTGGAATTTTTCTTGAACTTTCCATCCTCATTATCAGCCCCAAGGAATGTCTGTCTTTGGTAGAGGTTTGGTAGGTGTGGCTTTCCAGTTACCTCAAATTACTCTTTGTATTTTTGAACCTCTTCTAGGGTTTACATACTTCTTGGATCGATTTCTCTGTAAAATGATAAATATTTGCATATTGGTTGTATCTGCATGTCAGTGGTTCTTCAATTTGTGCCACCCACCCCCCACCCTAATCCAAAGATGGCTGCGTTACCCTGACATGCTGAGTGACTGCACAGCTCGGGACAGGTCTACACCAGCTGCCCAGTGTGACCCCAGTGGTCTTTTTCGTTAATAACAGTGGGGGAAGCTGCCTCCTGTTTCTGGCCCTTAGCTCTGCCCATGTATGTTAATGTGGTTAGTGCTAGTTGGCTGATGCTGAAGGACCTCAGTCTGTGATTGGAGGCAGGCTGTGGGGGGAGGGGCTGGGTATGTGTGGCAGCCGGTATTATGCCTGACGAGATCAGTGCGCCACTGTGTGTGACAAGGGAGGGAGAGATTGTGAGGGATTGAGAGAGAGAGAGAGAGAGAGAGAGAGAGCGTGTGGACGGCCGGCTGGGAGACTCGAGCATGCAAGGTTAGAGTTTTTGTACAAAATAGCTTTTGTCTGTGAATCTGACTGCTGTGATGGGGGGCGGGGCTGTATGTGCTGTTTTGGACATTCTGCATGCCTCTTAAGTGTGTGTGTGTGTGTGTGTGTGCGCGGGCGGCCAGAGACGGCGCACGGCACTGCAGCACACTGGATGTGGCAGTGCCCCTCCCCCTCCCATCCTCCCTGTGCCCTTCGCCGTGAGCAGGAGACCCCGGGGGGGGGGGGGGTCCTGAATGACTGCTGAATGAATGGCATTGTGTGAGGCCCCGCCCGTGCTGATTGGCTGTTACGCACACACACACGCACACACACAGTCAAGTAGCTGGCGCCTTTGTGCACGTGTGGCGGGCTGAGCCGCGGTGGCCCTGCTTCGGGCCGCTTTCCGAGTCGCACCAGGCTACAGCAGACTGTAGCCGGGTTCTGTTTTAACCTGCCGCCTCTGAATCATTCTGGGTGGGGTGACTGGAAGCCTCCGAGCCTTCATTGTGTGAATCTGCCTCGGGGATGGGGATGGGGACGGGGGGTTGTTAAGATCAGTGCGGTTTCAGCAACATGCCCCCCCGCCCCCCCAGTGACAGTTTCTGACGTTCGGTTTGTGTTTGCTGTGTCTATATGCATAAACGCGCTTCGGGTGTCTGTCCTGCTCTTTGTGCTGCGCTTTCCATTCCCGCCCTGGTGTCTCATCCCCTCCCCCTACAGTTTCTGAACACCTGTCACCAGACTCCTGTCAGCCCTCTGGGCGGGTGTGTGCGTCTCGCTGCCTCTGTGTTTTTCTGTGTGGTTTATGATGCAACCAACCAATGCCGTTTGATTCTGGGTGTTTATTTTCATGTAGGTTGTAGGGAAACGGGTCCAAGATGGACCGAGAAGGATGAGGAAGCTTTTATAGTAAAGACAAAAGTGCTGTCAGCCTGCCCGTTGTTAGACTGCTCCCTGTCCATCATGCCTGTAACCTTTAACCTGCATTCATAGTTTCTTGGGATCAATTTGTTGGGGTGTTTGTGTCCTGAATTGCTGTATAAAAGGACTGATTAGCATTAGCACAAAGCCAGGCTTTCAAACAGAGCATGAACAGCACAACATGGAGTGAATATCCTCACTGTGCCAAGTGCTTTACTACCAGCACCCCCTGCAGGTCTGTGCTGTATGTGCACCAGATGTGCATGTATGTGCCTGCGATGGTAAGGCACCGGGCTGTCGGTTGTTCCCTTGGTGTGTGAGGCTTTTCTCATTAGACTTGTGCTTTCTCTGCCCACGTCCCTCTGCTGATGACACCTAGGGGGTGTGTTGGGGGGGGGGTTACAATGCCGGGGGGTCACTGACCAGTTTAGCGAGGGGGGGGGGGGGTTTGAGGGGACGGAGAGGCCTTTAATTACAGCCCAGCGGTGAGTAGGGGTAGGATGGTGTTGGCTTTGCACAGGCTTACAACAGGCAGGGGATTGTCATGCCTCCCCTCACATTCTGAGACGTCCCTGGCAGTGTGCGGGGGGAGGGGTGGGGGGAGCAGCTGTCACGTTTTGGGGGGGCTGCTGACCAGTTGGCTGCTTCTTAGGACAAAGGGGTGTGTGTGTGTGTGTGTGTGTGTGTGTGTGTGTGTGTGTGTGTGTGTGTGTCTGTGTCTGTGTGTGTGAGTGAGTGAGAGAGGAGAGTGGTCAGCTCTGCAGAGGGCCTGTCTGATCACTGTTCTCAGGCTTTATTTTCTGCAAATGGCGAGCTGGGTGGGACAGACACCAGCTCCCTTTAATCTCTGTGCTCCACGTCTGCCGTCGCCACCTTGTGGTCTGCTGGTGTCTGTCACTCGGCTTGCTGGCATGCCTTCTGTCACAAAGTGTTTAATGTCACAGCGAGTCACATTAGTACAACCCAGCCGCTCACTGGTGGATGTGTGGTTAGGATCTACATTAAACTCAACACACACAGATATTGTATGTTAAGGGTGTTTGCGATTGAGATGTGTTGTCTTGGTAAAATGTACCTCTCCTTCCCCAGGCATCCGCCCCCCCATTTTGAACGGGCCGATGCACCCACGCCCCCTGGTGGCCCTGCTCGATGGGCGTGACTGCACGGTGGAGATGCCCATCCTGAAGGATGTGGCCACAGTGGCATTCTGTGACGCCCAGTCTACCCAGGAGATCCACGAGAAGGTGCGTGCGTGCGTGCGTGCGTGCGTGCGTGCGCCTCTGTTTCTGTACGCGGCTGTTTGCGGCCACATGCTGGGAGCTCATGGTATCCCCTCGGCAAGCTGGTGAATGCGCACGCTTCACTAGTGATAGTACATGAAGAGCAGTATGATCCAGGCATGCATGTGCAGTTGTCCGGCTAAAGAAGAACATCAGACTGTTGAAACAATATGCAGTTGCCACTTCATACAGATGTGGCCCATTCGCCGCACGACGTCAGCACTAAGCCTCTGTCTGGCCGGCAGGTGCTGAATGAGGCAGTGGGCGCCCTGCTCTATCACACCATCACGCTGTCCCGGGACGACCTGGAGAAGTTCAAAGGCCTCAGGATCATCGTCCGCATCGGGAGCGGCTTCGACAATGTGGACGTCAAGGCCGCCGCCGAGCTTGGTGGGTAATGGCTGCCCCTCCGCATCCTCCTGCCTCCCCCCTGCCTGTCTTCCCGATCCTCACCCCCCCCCGCCCTTCTCCCTGGCCCCAGGAATCGCAGTGTGCAACGTGCCATCGTCGTCCGTGGAGGAGACAGCCGACACCGCGCTCTGCCTGGTGCTGAACCTGTACCGACGTGTCACCTGGATGCACCAGGCTCTGCGTGAGGGCACGCGCGCCTCCAGTGTGGAGCAGATCCGCGAGGTGGCCGGTGGAGCCGCCCGCATCCGTGGAGAGACCCTGGGCATCATCGGCCTGGGTGAGTCCGGGGTGGGACAGAGCGAGGGGCAGGCCGCTGTCTCTGCCACTCTCTGCAGTTAAAGCCCCAAGCTCACCCCGCCACTGCGGACCCCTGCCCGCAGGTCGAGTCGGCCAGGCGGTGGCACTACGGGCAAAGGCGTTCGGCTTCGGTGTGATCTTCTATGACCCGTACCTGCCGGACGGCGTGGAGCGCTCACTGGGTCTTCAGCGCATGGCCACGTTGCAGGACCTTCTTATGCACTCGGACTGCGTGTCGCTTCACTGCAGCCTCAACGAGCACAACCACCACCTGATCAACGACTTCACCATCAAGCAGGTCCCCCGCCTCAGCACCCGTCATCGTGCCTGTGCTGTCACGTGTCCGTCTGGCGTGTTTCTCCAGCTGACGGCCCATGTGACCGTGTCCTCCTCCGTAGATGCGGCAGGGCGCCTTCCTGGTGAACACGGCAAGGGGGGGGCTGGTGGACGAGAAGGCGTTGGCTCAGGCGCTGAAGGAAGGCCGTATCAGAGGGGCTGCTCTGGATGTGCACGAGACTGAGCCGTTCAGGTCCGCCGGTGTTCACACTCGTGCACTCGCATGCACACTGAGTGCAAATCACTGATTAAACTCGTCAGCCTGGATGTCCTCCCTGAAATTTGGGCTGGCCGTTGCCATGACACCTTACCTCCACGCTCCCTGTACTCCCAGCTTCTCGCAGGGCGCCCTGAAAGATGCCCCCAATCTCATCTGCACCCCCCACACATCCTGGTACAGCGAGCAGGCCTCCATCGAGGCTCGTGAAGAAGCAGCCAGGGAGGTGCGACGTGCCATCACTGGTGAGTGTGGGGGGGGGGGGGGGGGGGGGGCTAGCATGCGAAATGGGGTGGATTACCAGCGGTGATTGGAGAAATCTGGCTCTGATACTTGGTGGCCTGCCAGTGGGAATGGGGGGGGGGGCAGGTAACACGATAGTGCCGTCAGTTTCGGTCTCCCCTTCCAGGTCGCATCCCTGACAGCCTGAAGAACTGCGTCAACAAAGACTACCTGATGGCGGCCTCCCAGTGGCCCAGCGTGGAGGCCACAGCCCTGCACCCGGAGCTCAATGGCGGTGGCTACAGGTGGAGCATCGGGGGGGCCGGGGGGGGCTGAGCGGCCCCAGGGTGGGGCCGGAGCGCTGACTGCCATCCCTGTGTGTCTGCAGGTTCCCCGCGGGGCTCATCGGCGTGACTGCTGGCAGCCTGCCCGGGGCGGTGCCCGGCGTGGAGGGCATCGTGTCCAGCTCGCTACCCCTCGCCCACGGCATCACGCCCATCTCACATCCCCCACACACCCCATCGCCGGGCCAGCCCTCAAAGGCGGAAGGGGACAGAGACATGCCCACCGATCAATAGCCCCCCCGGCACATTCCGCGCCCCCCTCCCCCTACTCCCTGTCCACCACCCCGCAAGCACGTGGACGCCGGGGTCCATGGCGCTGTCCGCCCAGTCCGCCGAACAAAAACAGCCAGCAAGAGAGCTGTGCTCCCAATTTCATCCTTACCCTGTATCTTCTTCTTAAGGGTTCTGGTTTTTTCTTTTGTTCTGTTTCTGAAAAAAAAAAAAGCCCTAAGCTGGAGATTTTTCCCCGTGGTTGTAGGAGGTGTTTGTATTTCTTTTGTCTTACTTGCTTTTGTTGGCTGTGGGCTTTGAAGCGTAATGAAGGCTCTCTGTGATAAAGTCAAGGGGCCCTTCCTCCAAAGGCCTGCCTCCGTCTGCCGAATTTCACACGGGGCTTCGCACGGGGGCTGTCAACCTGCAACGCCGCCCCCCAGCCCGCAGGAGCAGCCACAGAGGGCGCTGAAGCTGTTGGCATAATTACAGGAAGGAGCCTCCTTGGACTGATTCTGTTTCCTGTTGGTTATAAATCCGCTGTTCACTCTTTACGCGGCTGCCTGCTTGTGACCCGCACTGTGCCCAATGTGACCGGGTGTGTTTCCCTGACATAATGCAGCCCCGCCCCCTGGACACGCCCCAGCCAGCTCCTTCTCGAACTCCTGAGCACCACAGGTTCCGTGAGCAGCTGTGGTTCCCTTGTTCTGCCTCCTTGGTCCTGTGGGGGGGGGGGGGGGGTTCCGCATTTGTTTGTTTCACGTTGCGGTTGGTGCCAAATCGAGACGAATCGAGCATTAATCCTGTCCCCACCTTCAGTGGGTCCTGAAGTCTGCAGGCCCACACACAGACCTGCTCCCGATCTCCACTCTTTCAGGCAAAGTGAATAACCTAGAGTCTCCTGAGTGACTGTTAGCCCCTTCTCTCTTCCCTTCTCCCAAACTGAGTGGCACTTATCCGGCGTCTCTACCTGCACCGTCCCCCTCAAGTCGCCAGCCGCTACATGTCTGTGGGGTGGTGTTTGGGGACAGCGGGGGGCGCCCATGTCTCAGCTCTTACAGTATGTGCCAGGATGCCGCAGTACAGCTTTCATCCACTAGGTGTGACGCATGCAGCTGTGTCCTGATGAGCTCCCGCTAGCGACCCCGGAGCCTCGCATCTTCACCTGCCTCTTGCCTTGGTGACTGACGTGGTCTCTCTGAATTCCTTGACTCTTAACTGTGAACACTGTTTCTTGACAAGGGACTACCTTTCTAGTACCTCAGCAACAGATATTGAATGTACCCTCAGATCTTTGTGCACAGTTTTTAGTTTAATTACCTGATATTAAGGGAAATACCGGTTCAAGTTGTATCTCTACAAAAATAAGACCAGCTGACTATTGGATACAGTCAGTGGGCGTTCTGTGCTTAGAGCTGTCTGCTTGGAGTTGGATCTCGGCCATAAAAGTTGGCTTTGTTTTACTTTCTATCTTTCCTTCCTCCGTTACCAGCTGATCAGTCATTTCGGGCCCCAAACCCCTGCTGGTGTTTCTCCCCATTTCCACAGGGTGGGTCCCGCTCATGTGATGTACCTCTGCATGGGATGCGCTGGAGGAATGTGTCAGGCCTTCAGTCCATTGTCCTTTAGTTGACTTCAGTAGATTTCTGAAGAAATTGGCATTATTTAACAGACAAGGTGGGTCTTCACTGTCTATCATGATCCAGAGGAAAGCCATGATCCTAGATGGCGTGGCCAGCTGTTCCGGCGTGTTCCCTGGGACTTAGGGTCTCTTTCTCTGGATTTGTAGCCGGTTAAGCTGAGCCTGGCTTCAGGAGTAGAATCAGGGGCTGTCATTGGGGGAGGGACTTGGTGACCAGCTCTGCTGATGTCATACATCTGTCCTGCCCACTTTATCTTTAAGGCAAGTGTGTCCAGTCATGTATGACATTTCTGTATTATCTGTACCCATCTGTTTGTTTTGATGCATCTAATGTTCATCTGCTGACATTTAAGGTAAACAGACGTGTGTCATCCATAACACACTGGATCCTTCTGAAATCAGTGCATACTTACTACGTTCAGATTTCTATTGCTTTCCCATTTGTTTTCCGCACCTGTAACTTAAACACTTTTTGAGCTGTTACCGCGGAAACCTGTCCACATCCTCAGAGGCGAGCCCAGCTGCCAACGATGACTCCCCCTGCGGCCGTGTTGAGGTGGGCGGTGCCCTGCCCACAGTGGACAGGCAGTCAATCCCTGCCCAGTTTCGGCTGTGTGCAAGGTTTGGGGTGTAGGGGCTAGATCTGCATTGCCCCCCTCCCCTAAATACTCGCCCAAATGGGCAAGCTGGCCACAAGCTGTTCAATGTAGGGGCAAATTGAATAAAATGAAAGTAAAAAGCTGCAGTTGGCAGCCGTGGGACTGGCGCAGTGGGGCACTGCTGGACTGCAGCCGTCCTCTCTCTCTCTCAGGGTCGAAACATAAACGCCTCCTACACTGTGTCTGTCCATCTGTGTCCCTGTACCCCCCCCCCCCCAGTATTTTTTTCACCATGACGGAGCATGCCAGGAAGTTTTGATGGTCACAGTTTCTATAATCTTGGTAACGTTTTTGTCCGGACTGGGAAACAGGTCTTTACAGCGTGAGCATAGTGTTATTTTGTCCATTTTACTTTTCTGTTTGTAAAATTTGATTTTTGGCATCAGACTGCAAAAACTTTAGTTTAAAAAAAAAAAAAAATCAAGTTCCCCTGTTACTAGGCTCTTAATGTCAATTTTTTTTTTGTTTACTTTTATATTAGAAACAATCATGTTTGTGATGGTTACTTCTGCTATAAAAATATTTTAATAAAATCTTAATGATGAAACTCACTCTCTCGGTTTGGCACCAAAGCCAATCTTTCGCCTCTAATCGAGGAAACGTTCACCTTCATCAAACTGGCATCTCATACCAAAGGGTCCAGTATGACGTCCTAAAATGTCTCACTGTGCAGCCTCCCCCTCGAACGGCTCAGATACATGTCAATGAGGCCTTGTGTGTCATCGGCTTATGCTTTCCTGTCACTGATTTTGACCCTTGACCCTATCTCAGCTGCAGTTCACTCCGTTCTTTTGTGTGAGGGAGTGTGAGAAAACTAGTGCACAGTTAGAAAGCCATAGAGGGGAGACATGCCAGTTTGTTATTAAGGCAGGAGAGCCTGCAGTGTTGTGGTAATGCCGTGTGCGTTTCCTGTTGCGGGGGCTGCACATTCAGGGTAGGTTTATTACGGGCTGGGGGCAGAATAGCGTATGTGATGGTTGGGGGGGTCAGGGGGGTTGCTTGCCAAATTGCTACCACCTGGTTGAGAGAGGTAGGAGAACGCTTGCGTGGGCACGGCCAGGAAAGGGTGACGCGACCAGCAAGGGGCCCGACCTGAGTGTGGGGCGTGTTTGTCAGTGAGGTCAGGCGGGAGGAAGCGGATGCTCTGAGCGTTATGAGAACCGCGAGCCGTGACCTCGGGGGGCTTTTCAGACCCCAGCCGTGCGACGGCGGCTTCAGGATATGCCCCTATGTGCCTCAACGTGCCTGAACTGCTCAGTGTTCGGGACCGTTTTCTGTGAATAATTATTCTCAAGGTATCTGAGGGAGAAGAATAGAGCTCATTCAGAGAAACATTCACAGCAATCATTATTCTAGGTCTACATGGATGAGATTACCTGTGACCCGTTTTGACATTATGTGGCCTGGTTACTCGGTCCACGTGAGACAGGCTTCCTGGTCCAAGATGGGGTTTGGCTGGGGGATGGAAGCTGTCTGTCTGGCCGCCATGCCGGGTCAGAGGCTGTAGTACAGGCAGCCACGTGCTGGTGGGCTTGGTCCGCCTCTGGGCCGGAGTCGGCATCGGTGCGCTGCCCTGCGCCGATCATCAGCCTCCGGCTGCTTCTTGGCCAGCGTGCTTCGCTGGGTGCCTTTTAGGGCCGCATCCTGTATTCGGTGCCACAGCTGGGCCCAGGGCTGAGGTCTTGGCAGAGCCATTCCGGAGGTGGATGACAGCCTCATGTCTGCGGAGAGCCTTACAGCAGCCTTGGCGAGCTCTGTGGAGACTGTTTACCTAGCAACGCAGGACAACTCTGCGCCGAAATGCTGTCGGCACGGAGCTGCGCGTTTATTGAGGCTGGCCAGACAAATATTTATCTCCTTGCTCTTATCTAAACACCTGTTAAGAAACTATGTTTTTGCAGCATTGCTGCGGGACAGATGGTAGTTTCTGCTTTGTGTGTGACGGGTGACTTTGTTCACGGTGCCCGGCTCAAGGCCCACAGTCCTACGGCATCCTCGCTCAATCCGTCACCTTCACACCGACTACGTCGCTCTGAGAAGCCGGGAGATTTCTCAGCTTCTCCATTTTGCAGGGATAGCAGACAGCCTAAGCCTCACCCTCCTGTGCCATGAGCCTAAATCCCACACTTAACTGTTCCACCAAACCAATTCTTATAATGCCTCTGAAAATTCTGGCTCCTGTGAACACTGAGTGCAGGAATGGATTTGTTAACTGTGTAAAGGTAATTGGTGCTTTGAGATGAATGACGCCAGATGGTATGGGACACCCAGAGGGCCGGTGGAACAGTGAGGGCTGACCTGTTAATATTATGGGATTGTATGCACACGTGTGTGTTTGCGGTGTGTCATGTAAACGCAGTTAGGGGTGTGTGACACAAATGAAGGCCTGTGCATGTAGACCAATGGGTCAGTAGCATACAGGCTCCATTTTAGACGCCTAACGGGGCCTGCAGTTAATCTCCCGGGAACAGATGGCCTTGGTTTCCTGTGACCTACTTCCAAGCGAAAACCACAGAGATGGAAAAACCATGGGAGAGATTCCGGAGGTAATGCCCCCCCCCCAAGCTGTGGCGGTCGCGTCTTCCCAAGAGCCCACGGTTCGACAGCTGGCACTCTCTTCCATCGCTCTTAAGGCATGTGTCATCCCCCCCCCAAAAAAAGTCATCTTAAGACTATTGTTCCCAAAAAGTTCACAGGAAGGCCACAGGGTCACTGGAGCCAGGGTACAGGGCAGGGGGGTGTCTGATGCCTGTAACATTGACGTCTTACTCTGCCTGCAATTCTTTGCCAAATCCCCATCATTCAGTGTAATAACTGTGCCCCCCCCCATACACTGACATGATTAAATGGCACTTCTATGGTAAGTAACCTACATTTCTCACTCATTCTCACAGCTGGATTTTCATTTGAGCTTGTCAGGTTAAGTTCGCCTCAGGTACTGTAAAGGCCGGATGCTGCGGGCTGAAGCGTGTGCTGGGCTCTGTGATTAGCGAGCTTTCAGCCTGCGTCCCGTCACGGTGATGATGTAATCTCCAGCGGCCTGTGGGGTGTCTCGTTACGGCGTAATGCCACACGCAGGCTGCCAGTGTGCATCGCTGCCTTCCAGGCTGCGTGGGAAACCCCAGGGGGCGACAGAGTTCTGCCAGCTTCCCACGCTCCTTTCTCAATCAGTTTGCTGCTGTGCTAGTGGTGGACTGAAGGGGGCGCTAGCCCCAAAGCGTCAAACTCACCTACCCTTTACCTATCTGCCTAGTAGCAGTCCCCATATCAGATTTATTTATTTACATTATTCTTCTTTCATTGGTTATTACGATTATTAATATGAATGTGCTGAGAATGGCTTCAGTTACTAGTTAGTAGTATCAAAGACCACAGCACTGTTATCTAAACCCATCAGCAAACCAGCTTTGGAGGATCTGGTTGAGCGCAGGTGGCTGCGATGCTTGGCTGCGCAGCTCTGGCAGCGTATGGGTCACCTGCCGATGGGACGGGCAGTCAGCTGCTCCAGGGTTACCTGGGTTCCCCCAGCGAAGCGCTACAAAGAGGCAATAGGGTTTTTCAGGGGGGGGGGAGAGAAAAGGGGGCTGTGCAGTGCCCTGCCATACATGGAAAGGTGGGAGAGAAAAAGAGAGAGAGAAAGGAGGGAGCAGAGTAGAGAGGTGGAGAAAAGGGGAGGGGGAGCCCGTTGAGCAGGAGGGGTGACGGACACTGTGGCGCACGCAGAGGAGCAGGAGAGACGTTCTCCAGACCTGTGCGCAAGGACGGGTCGTGACACCAGAGACAGAGCGACCGTGCGATTCTCCACCGCCGGCGTCCCGCTCAGCCCGGTAAGGCGCGCCGCCCGGATCCGGGTTCGACTGGCACCCCGCTGTGGGAGCTGCTCCGCCTGAGCCTTTCAGCATGACGCTGAGTGCCAAACCCGCTTTATTACTCTCCCCCGGAGCCATCGCCTGACCTCTGGGTGCCACCGGGATCCGTTTAGCGCTGACCTCCTCTCTGGTGTAGGGGGCACTGTGATTACGCCTTGCAGAAAGGTGGGGAGACTGCAAAGACTTTCCAGAGCGCTGCGCTCTTTTCTATTGTGTCTGACAGGAAAAGAAACGGCTGTGTGTGTGTGGTCCAGGTATACATTTCAATGAGGGGACAAAATGTCCCCACAATGTGATAAAAACCTGTTATTCTAACATTGTGGGGACCATTTTTTCCAGGGAAATTCAATTTAAAAAAAATCTGTGACTGCAATCAAAAAACCCAAGGCTGGGTGGGGGGTGGGTGTTTGACTGCAGCCTGTCAGTATTTTTGTTTTCTGAGGTTTATTTAGGAGTCTGGGGGGATTGCAGAGGGCAAGATTTACAGCAGGGGAGGGTCAACCAGACAGTAGGGGAAGACAGGGCTGAAGGTAATCATTAGGCCCCACCCAACTGCCCCCCTCCCCCACACCCCCACCCCAACCTGCTGCATGCTTCGCTTTTCCACTATGAAAATGTCTTATTGCTCCCGTTGTCCTTTGGATCTTTCAGTAGTCGTCTGTGTCTGCTGACTGTCTTCAGGCCCGACTGCCGTTGGGGGAGGGGGGTGTTGATTGGCATGGAGGGATGGGGTGGGGGGTGGTGGTCCATGTGTCGAGATGGTGAAAGCACAGCCTAGGAAGCAGAACGATGGAGAGAGACGCCTCAGCAACTGCACGCCATTCCGTCATGGAGCAGACAGTCTCCAAACACAGCACCCCAAAGCAGAGTTCAGCAGAAATTTCCTTAGAAGACGCCCCCCCCCCCCTGCATGTTTGAGGACATGCATGTGACCTTCCCCTCTCTGTATTAACGACCTGTGAGCTCAGCCTGCTGGGCGTATGGAGGCCAGAGAGGGAGGAGGTGACCGCGGCGGCAGGCCCTCACCGGGGCCTGCCCGCCGGCCTGCCTCGCCGAGCCCCCTGCTGGCACAGTCATGCTATTGTTCTGTTATTTTAATTCCCCCAGCCTTATAAACAGGGTGATAAATCCTAGGGGGCGGGGGGGGGGTGGCTGGGCAGGGGACAGTCTGTGGTCTGGGAGCCGGTGATTTATGCTGGATTCAGAATCTCAATTTATTTTTACTGGGCGTATCGTAAAAAATCACCCCGTCCGCTCCCTCCGCGACTGGGAATACTGGGAAAGGAACTCTGACTCAGCGATGGTGGCGGGCATTTTCATACTGAACTTTGGGATGACGCTTCCCGGACTGTGCCCCGTGCTGTGTCTGTTTTCCGGAGGAACGTGGGGCGCAGAACAGTGTGATGTGGTCACCGTACGGGAATTGGGTAAATTGGCCTGGCTTTTTACATCAACGCATTAACCGACATACACTCCATGCAACGAAATGAATAAAAATGTGACTGAAATGATTACATGCAAAATGATTAAATCAGAAAACTTTGTTAGTGGCTCTCTGTCTGCATTATGTTTGTCATGTCACCTGTATGTCCTGCACATGTGACACGTGCTATCATGGTAATGGATGCTCTCCTGACTCCCTTTATGGTGACCGCCCATGTCCCCGTGTCCCCCACAGATGACCCCCTCTGAGCTCCTCCTCCCCAGCTGCCCATGGCAGCTGCTGGTCCTGCTCCTGAAACTGTGGCTGTCATGTGTGGGTGCCGTGGGGGCGGCCAATGGGACGCTGTGTACCGCCCGTGGACCCGCCTCCTACATCCTGGTATTCACCGGGCACTGGAGTCCGGAGACCTTCCCCAAGCAATACCCGCTGTTCCGCCCGCCGGCACAGTGGTCCAAGTTGATAGGTAAGAACGCAACATGGGTCAGGTGGGTGACATCATGTGAGCAGACCCCCCCCCAACCCCAGCAGTTCTTAGTGAGTTAGTCCCTGACAGACTGTATAACCTGTCCACACCTTGTCCTGTGTTGGAAGTTTGAAGACTCACAGTTGGCCTGTTAACTTGCATAAGCCCCCCTCCCAAGTGGCCCGCCAAGGTGGGGGGGCCGTGGCCTAACAGCCAGCAGATGATGGTGAGCCTTCTGTGGTTCTCGTCTGTGCATGGCACGTGGGGTGTGGGGGCCGGGTGGCACTGGGGGGCCCCGCGTGTAGGGGGGGACTTATTGTACAAACCACAGAGGACAACACTGATGGATTGCAGGTGTCAGCGTCCCAGGACGTCCTGCGCCTGGGGGCCGGTGCATTCCCTCTCCGTCATGGTGGACCAGGGATTAGCCATTAGCCCGCCAGCATGGTGGAATCTGAATTTTAATCCTCAACCCCCCCCTCCCCCCCATTTATGGTGAAGAAATATGACTGAAGCAAGGCCTTATATATTCATCGGGGGGTGTAGGTCTAAATTTGTGACCATTACCAACTACTGAGCAAAAGCGAGGTACAACAGTCATGCCTTGTGACCTGTCCCACCTCTCCCGCCATAGCGGTGACGCACAATGCACAGTTCCAGCTTTGGCAGGAGGGGGCGCCAGCGAGCCCGGGAGTGCGCAGCTTCGCGGAAGATGGCGTGACAGTGGAGCTGGTGAAGGAAGCGCGCGAGGCTCGCAGGAGGCGGGCGGTGGGGTCGATGTACCGCACTGCTGGCATTCTCATGGGCGTCGGACATAGCTCAACCGAGCTCCTGCTGCAGCCCAAGACCTCCCAGGTGAGCGCTGACCCCTGCTGGGCGCGCCGTGCAATGTTCGGCAGATGTTTGGAAGTTCAGGCGGGCACACAGTCTGATGTCTATTCACTTATAATGACTTATCTACTGTGATGCAACTTCTCCGTTTTCCTTTGAGCTCATAAGATTCCAGAGGGAGAAATGTAACTGTTTATCCAAATATATAATAGCAACCTTTCCAGCACAGGATGCTGTGAGCCCAGAGCCTGCTGTCTGACCCACAGGGCACAAGGACAACGGTCCATTACAGGGAAGCAGCTCCAAGCACCACACACACACACACACACACACACAAAAACACAGCAGGGGGCAGGACTCGAACCCACAACCCTGGGGGCATGAGGCAACATTTACTCCATCGCTGTTTACGGCTTGACTAATTACCTTTTTCTGCCAGAATATTTTCTCCAAGTGCATCTAAGGTGGCCTCCTTCATTTGAGGGAGGTTCTTGAGGACTTCTGTGTGTCTTTATGAGAAATTCCACATTATTGCACCTGGAGGTCTCAGTCCAAGCGTCTTGCATAAAAACGACCTGATAGTGAACGCACACGTGTTTTAAATTCCCTTTCCTCCGATTGTACCAAGCCGATTGAGCTCCTGTTGGCTGTGAGCTGGGTCTGTTTTTAGAGTGGGTGGGCAGTGTGGTTGGGTGAAGGGTTTTTGGGACGTCCTGGGTGGGGGGGGGGGGGGGGGTGGTTGGAGTATTTATAGAGAATTGTGTCAGTGTGAGAAACCTGAACCTCATTTGTGATCATCACTAAAGCACACGCGTATTCCCCACATCTGCAATTCCGACTAATGCTGGTTTACGGCCTAAGCAAGAAGGTGAAAGTGAATGATTGCCCCTTTAACGTGACAGGAAGCGGACCTCAGAGCAGGGATACTTGGTCCTGCTGACGCAGGAAGCCAGTGACCTGTACTTTCAGTGGCACGGGATGATGAGAGCTGGCGAGTGCGTGTGTGCACCCCTCCATTTAAGCACTCATCATTTGACTGGACTGAGAATCCCATTCGAACCCTCATCATCCCCTGGCGTGAGTGAGCATGACGTCAACGACGTTACCGCCACTGGGATGATGTTTGTCAAGCCTGGATAGAGCGACGTGCATCTACTCCTGCTTCCAGCCGAAGTGAAATTGATATCACAGGAGAAATTCCTGGAAAAACCACAGCTTTGGAGCCGGGGAAAAAGGGGGCAGACGGGGTAGGAGGGAGGATGAGGGGAAGGACTCTGAAAGCCATAGATGGAAGGAAATTCATCTATCACTGTTCTTCGTTAAACACGCTTTTCGTATGCGTTAGACACAGAGCGCCAGGTGAGCGATCTGGATGCAAAGCAGGGGGCTATTTCTGCCCGGTTGGGAGGTCACAGCCATCGTGGTCCTGCTATAATGTCCACTCCACCCCTGGCCGATAAAAATAGCTGCATCCTCTCAGGCTGCGGTCCCATACTTTTTGGTTTATTTAATCTTCTTTTGGGAACCTGGCGTCCCAGAAAGCATTAAGCCGTAGACGTCCCTAGCATGATGTCACTGCGGCTCCGGAAACATCCGTCATGAGGAAAGAGGCGCCTAGCCTCACACGGGGAGCGGCAGGGCCGCTGGAAACTCTAAAGTAAGGGGCCTCACTACTCTGTGAGTTTTGGTGCATTAATGGTGAATGTTTCGAAATAAGTCATTTCAGCAAAGTGTGCCTGTTTTTTCTTTTTCTTTAAATACCCTGTTGGCTTTTTACTGAGACCGTTCTCCAGATAGGAACCCCCCCCCCCTTCCCAGCTAGCCTTAGGGTCGCTAACCTCTGTGCTCCTGCACTTCTACTCACAGCTGTCCCTAATGGCAAAAGTAATTCCCAGTCCAGACTGGTTTGTGGGCGTGGACAGCCTGGATCTGTGCGAGCAGGGTGACTGGCGGAAAGAGGTGACCCTTGAGCTACGACCCTTTGACGCCGGGACGGACAGCGGCTTCACCTTCTCGTCGCCAAACTTTCCCACAAACCCTCCGGAGAACATCACACAGGTCAGGAGGTCCTACAGCAATACTTTTCTCTGTGCGTGAAAACACACCTGATCTCCCCTCCCGTCAACTTTGTCCTGTTTCTCCTCTCCAGATCACCTCACAGAACCCTAACCACCCAGCAAACTCCTTCTTCTACCCCCGGCTGTCAGAGCTCCCCCCTTTGGCCACAGTTAAGCTCACCCGTCAGGGCCGGACGCCTACCCGGCAGAATCCCCTGTCCAATCACATCCTGCCTCATGCCACCTTGCCTAAGCGATTCTCAGGTAGGGGCGCGGCCAGGACGTGTGTGCGAGCCTGCACGTATGCGTGGCTGACCGTTTACGGGCAGGAAATCCTGAGTTTATCTATTTACATACTTAGTTACTAATTAACCACGGCCGGATTGTTCTTCAGAGACGCCGCTGGATTGCGAAGTGTCCCTCTGGTCGTCCTGGGGTCTGTGCGCCGGACCCTGCGCCAAAGGCGGGATGAGGCACCGCACCCGCTACATCCTCCTGCGACCCGCTAACAGCGGCACACCGTGCCCCGAGCTGGAGGAGCGCGCCGAGTGCACGCCCCCTAAGTGCGCGGCGACGCGCTGAGCAGACGGCACCAAAGCTCCCGTTATCGTAGCTGTATTTTCACAGTGGCATAGTGCGTCCTGCATCCTTCCAGTGTTAGATCACGCCACGCCCTCTCCTGCTAGCACTCACATCCAAAACATTACTGGCAGCACTGAAATGCACAGGCAGGGAGGCGAGTGTGCACACACATAAACACACTATACAGTAAAAAGTGTTTCTAACGCACTCAATACAAATGTGTGAAATATACGCGGCCCCCCGCCTTTCTTACAACACCTCCCCCAGTCTTGTTACTTTAATATCTATAAAGAAAACGAGTTTTACATTCAGAAAGCTAAAACTCACCATTCCTTTAACTTTTAAAATTACAATTAAGTTTTATTTGTATATATTCTGTATTTTGGTCTTATGTAACCCACAAATAAATATTTCAAAAATGTGCTTTATATTAAGAAGTCTTTACTACCTCCAAAATCTGCTGTCCTTTCCTAAGTAAAGGCTTCGTGTGAACATTGTTTCTTCTCTAATCGAGAGATGTTGGGGGATCAACGAAGACTAGGATCTTATAACTACGGTTATCAACTGGACCAGCAGAATACCAGTGAAATATATGAGAGCTGAGCCTGCCTTGTGCTGAACCGTTAGCTCATACTCTATTGTGATGTGAACGAGTACGTTTGCCATCAAATGTGGTAAGAGAGATCTAGGTGCGCCCCCGTGTGGGGACATATTGTATAACTCCCGCTAGAGCTTCAGTAACCATATAGTAGGGATCAGGGGCCTGTGTAGGGATGATAAATTCCAGCTTGACTAAAAAAAATGCAATCCGAGATAAACGGTTTCACGATACTGACTATCAGCTATTCATGTCAAGCCAAATGCTTTGCGGCTTTCGTAATTATTCTTAATCTTTTTAATCATACTCATGATCGCATTTTTTTATTCAGTGTTACATAAACTCAGGGGCGCATTACAGATTTTTGAAACTGGGGGCAAACAGTGAGCAAAAAAAAAAGTATTTAAGCTTTTCCAGTCATGCCTAATGTGGTATTCAGCGAGATTTAATATACTAAACATTTTCATTGAGACTGGCCGTCATACATATAATGTCACAGTGTTATCTGGTATGGATCCGAGTTGTCAATCACCTAGAAGTGGCCTATTAGACAATAGCATAAACAACAGATTTCTCTACAATTTGTTGCAAGTTTAAATTTACCGAGGCCCAGTATATTGTAATGTTATATGTTATGTCATAGATTTATAGCGTTACTCTAACAGATATAATTTCACGTTAGGTCAAACTTGGATAAAGTCCATTTTCTTTGTTGCAATAACATAAATTAGCCTATCACAGATATGGGGAAATTATGCTATCCAGCATAGGCTTGGCATAAATTAAGCCTACATAGAATTTGCGTCTACTTACATTGCTTGCTATTTGAAGGAGCGCTATGACAGTGTCTTTGTTTTTCTTCGGGTTGCTTTTTTCTGTATTGCATACCGCTTCAGTCCGTGTGACCAAACCCGCATCCGGCACAATTTAAGGCTGCTCTCTGGACCCGAAACCCGCAACGGCAGAATATAAACAGAATGCGGTAAATATAAGTGTTTTTTAATACAATATTTTAACTGATATCCGTGAGTTATTTATCATTCGTTAAATACGTAGGTCATCGTGGAAGTGAGAATATTTTAAAACCATGTATAGTCTAATAGGAACGCGTGCACTTTACTCTGTCTACCTACAGAGTGAGATAAAGGGAGACTTTGGGAGCGCGTGGGCGCAGGCACGGAGATGCGCGCGCGTGACGGGGCTTCCACCTGCAACAGGCACGTGCTGTGAGTAGATCGACACAGTTTGGCGAGTTCAGACATCACGGTAACCAACCATATTTAGGGATGCTACTTATCAAAGCTTTATTTTTCCCCCTCAAAAGTGGGGGGGACCGATCAGGGTCTCTGTATAACTGGGGTCGGAGTTGTCCCTATGTCCCCCCACCCTGTCCCCCTTCAAAACCTATTTAGTTTTACCTGTCCCACAAAAACACACAGCAGGGGTATGTGGCAGGGGAAGTCGACGAAGGTGTTGACAAAATAGCACACATAGCGAAAACATTAAAAATTCAAAAATGATCGGTGTGCAACTCTGCCTATGGACTGGGTGTATCGAATATACAGCTAGTTTTACCGAATCACAGGATTCTCACGGACAAGCCATTTCGAGAGTTAGGAAAACCCCCTTTCATACACCAGGTAATATACAGACTTCTTTGATTTATACGAGCGCTGTTTGAGATCCGTTATCCTGAAACCTAATCTTCTCCGGAGCAGGTTTGCCCTGTAGCGCCAGTTACCGTGGTTCTATGTCCCGGAAGAAGCGAACCACCGTAGCGATATCGAAAAGATACAGTTACCAATTCTTATCCTCAGAGTTACCCGGTTAAGCAAAGGACCCGGCTGCGTCATACAGGCCCCAGAGGATCGAATTTTAACCTTGCTGTGTGTATATGTGTGTGTGTGGGTTTGCATAGATCACATTTGAGGAAAAAATTGTCCCCAAAATGTAGTAAAACCTGAAATTTCCCTACTTTTGGGGACATCTTTTGAGGTCCCCATTTGGGTAACCTCAGTTTTATAAAAATCTGTGAATGCAATCAAAAAAGTAAAAATGCCAAAAGTCTTTTATTTGGGTTGGTTACTAATGGTTAAGGTTAGGGATGGGTAGAGGTTGAGGGTGTCGTGATTGGGATTAGTGTTGTGGTCATAGGAATGAATGGAGAGCCCCCACAGAGATATAGATACATAATCTATGTATGTGTGTGGTGTTTGTATTTTCTCACTGTGTCATGTGTGTATTGTCTCAAAGTCTACAAATAGTCTCTAAATTGCCAGTAGTGTGTATGTGTCTTACGATCAGGGCTGGACTGGTCATTTGACTCATGGGGCATTTTTCCAGTGGGCCGATGTGTATGTGGGCTGGCAAAATATATCTTGGGGGCCCCCGAAGTTCACGGTGGATTTCCTATCACAATCCAACCCCGCTGATGAAGGATCGGCCCTGTTGCTGCCTGGGGCAGGTGCAGGCTCCTCTGTGACCGACACCAGGAGAGGCTGACAGCCCAGTGTGTCAGATAGAGGGGAAATTGCCTCAAAAATTGTTACAGAACTAGTAGTCAAGTCAAGTAGGTTTATTTGTCATTTCAGCCACATACACAGTATACAGTGAAATGAAACATTGTTCCTCCAGGGCCAAGGTACACAAAGAACAAAAGCACACAAACAACACAAGACAATACATGTGCGATATACTGGACAAGACAACGTACAGTGCAGTCGACAGTAGTAACCGTGCTGGTCTGAATGGATATTTGAATAAACAGTATTATAGCAGATACAGTATTATGACATATTCTGTATTTTTAGCAGCAAGAGAGCAATAAGTAGTAAATAAATAAAAGTGCAAACAATAGTTGCAGGACAGACAGTGTGCAGTATATAACAAATGGCAAATGAAATGCAGCTTGTGATTCAGTTCTGATTCAGAAGTCTGATGGCCTGAGGGAAGAAACTGTTTCCCATACTGGCAGTGAAGGCTTGTGTGCTACGGAACCTTCTGCCAGACAGAAGGAGGGAAAAGAGGGTGTGGGAGGGGTGCGTGGGTTCATGCACAATGTTGGTGGTTCTGCAGATGTAGCATGACGTGTAAATGACAGTGGGGAGGGAAACCCCAATGATCTTTTTTGCTGTCCTCACTAGTTAGGGTTTTGTAGTGCGAAGCAGAGCAATTCCCGTACCAAGCCACGATGCAGCTACACAGGTTACTCCCCGTAGTCCCGTACCGAGCCACGATGCAGCTACACGGGGCACTCCCCGTAGTCCCGTACCGAGCCGCGATGCAGCTACACGGGGCACTCCCCGTAGTCCCGTACCGAGCCGCGATGCAGCTACACGGGGCACTCCCCGTAGTCCCGTACCGAGCCGCGGTGCAGCTACACGGGGCACTCCCCGTAGTCCCGTACCGAGCCGCGGTGCAGCTACACGGGGTACTCCCCGTAGTCCCGTACCGAGCCGCGGTGCAGCTACACGGGGTACTCCCCGTACTCCCGTACCGAGCCGCGGTGCAGCTACACGGGGTACTCCCCGTAGTCCTGTACCGAGCCGCGGTGCAGCTACATGGGGTACTCTCTGTATTGGCACCAAGGAACGTGGTGGTCTGGACAATCTCCACTGAAGATCCATTGATGTTAAGTGGGGAGTGGTCACGCCAGGCCCTACTGAAGTCAACAAACATCTCCTTTGTCTTGTTCACATTCAGAGACAGGTTGTTGGTTCCACACCAGTCCATTAGCTATTGCACCTCCTCTCTGTATGCCGCTTCGTCATTCCCACTGATCAGACCCACCTTGGTTTTGTCATCAGCAAACTTGATGATGTGGCTTGAGCTGTGCATTGCTGTGCAGTTGTGGGTCATCAGTGATGTCATGATACTTTTCCCTACTTCATTTGAGCTCCATAGGATATAGAACTAAAAGAGACATGAAAATGGGATATCTGAGCCATGACTCCATTACACAGGAAACCTGTACAGTGTTTTTCAAGACGTTTGGATGACGTTTAAACAAATTATTTATTTCACATAGTTTTCTCTTAACTGGAGGATTTCAAAACAGGTACATTTGGAAATCCAATTTATGGTATGACGGATTGACCATCCATCCATTTTCTATACCTGCTTGCCCGACATAGAGGTCACAGAGATATAGAATACCATTATATTTATATGAATTATATTATATCGATGATATATTTAAATGGAATGTACATAATGACTAATAATGTACATGTCATATAAATATGAAATAGCTATAGCTATAATCTGTAGCTATAACCGTCTGATTATATCGATAAGAAACGACTTTGAAGTCGCTTATCAGCTTTGCGAAGCACTGCTTTGGTGTGGGCGCAACGCCGCGCTGCGGCCGGCAGGAGTCGCTGCGCGCCCTGCGAGCACGCGCCGAGTATTTGAACTCCGCAGTAAGGGGAGCGTTTGATTGTTGCAGGGCTAAATGGCGGACGGAGCGGGACTGTTGCATTGTGAACAATAACATTTTAACGCCGCTATCACGTATTTCTTGAAGCGACTGGGTTGGGAGTCCCCACGAGCGCCTCGCTCGTTTCTTTTCTTAATATTATTATTATTTATCACGGCCTTTGTAAGTACATCGGAGTTGTCCAGTGAGGAAGTTGTTCTTGCTGGCCAGGCAATATGGGGGACTCTCTGGGCTTGGTGGGAAAGCGCTTGCTGCTGCTCCTCGGCGACGCGGGCTCCGCCGCGGGACCCGAAGCGGATCGGGCCGTCTGGACGCGCGAGTGGCTCCGTGGGACTGTCCGAGCGGTTAGCGTGGTCGGGTTGGCCAGCCCGGGGGTGGAGGTGAGCGGCGCAGAGGGGACGGCGGCGGCGAGGCTAACGGTCAGTGTTTACAAGCGGACGGACAGGCTTTGGGAGCCGGTGCGAAGCGGAAGAGGAGGAAGCGCGATCCGGGAGCGGAATCACCCGACGCGGTGCTCAGGTTGCACGACTCGGGCGGGCCGGCAGGCAGGCGGGGGGGCGGCCGGTCGCTTTTGTGCTGGAAGAGTCTTCGGCAGCCGCAGTCTCGCACTGGAGACCGCGGCTTTGGGCCCGCTCTATTGATGGCAGGCAGTGACGTGACCAGCTGCACGGAGATGGCAGGCAGCGTCCCGGGGGCGACCAGGGGGGCTTTAAATGGAGCAGTTCCACTCCTGCGGCTTGTAATGCGATTTTTTTTTGCTGATTTTTTGCAAAGTGCTCCTAGTGTCTTCCGTAAGTCAAACGCGGCTGTCGGCGGAAAGCGATGTGAACTACAGGGCGCCGCAGGTCTTGGAAAATACAAAAAAATACATACATTTACGCCATATATATATATATATATATACATACAAAAACTTTAAGAAAATATTTTTCTAAGTTGTCATTAATTAAGTAGTCATTTAATATTATAAATTATATATGATTTTTGCACGCATTTAGAAATAGTTTTGCACGTTTGTGAATTTTCCTTTTTTATATTTTCGCATTAGTGGCATACACGCATGCATGTGGGTATTCCCTTTGCACTATTGATATTTTAATGTGGGTTGTAAGACGTTTGCACACCCTCCGAACAGTGCCATCTCCTACGTGCAGGCAGAGGCGTGTCCTCGATGCTGCGCGGTGCGATCGGGATGAAGTTGAATGTTAGGATTAAGGGTCGCGCAGAGGATGCTCCTGGAAAGATTCTCGCTGCATCTGCGTCTTGGATGCGCGTTTGTTCGATGGGGTCTCGCGTGTCAGGCGAGGTTTGCGATCCAGGCGATCTCTGGGGAGGTGGGACGCGAGTGGACGTGCCTTCGAGTCCGGACCGCCTGAATCGACTTGTTAGTACTTATGCAGGGTGCTGGATAGTTGGCTTTACTCATATCCTTGACCTTGGGCAAAAGCTTCAACTCCTCAGCTCCAGTTTGTTGAAAGCTGGGAAGGGTGTGAAGGGATTGTTTTGGGTGTCTTTGTGGGTCTGGAGTATTGCGACATTTGTCTGTCTTTTGTTCACTGCTGCATCAGTGTAGCATGCTCTGGCTCAGTGACAAGAGTGAGCGGCTTTTGTATGAGCTGGAATCTCTCTCTCTCCCAGGTGTTTGTGGAGTTTGAGGACTGCCCTTGGCGACGCCGCTCCTGGGTGCAGCTGTACGGGGATGAGGTGCGAGCCATCTTGGTGGAGCGCTCCATCGTGTGGGCTGCCCGCAGCGACCCTAACCTCCCGGGAAGTGGAGTGAACCCAGTTTCTGCTTGGCCTGCACTGGTCAGTACCTGGAGTTTTTTCCAGTCAGACATATTGATGCCATTTCACACATACCTGTTCGCTGCTGTCTTGGCAGGATAAATGATATTATTAGTACATGGAAAATGAGGTAACTCATTCAGTATTCTGGGTCTCTGTATCTAACTATAACTTCAGACCAAAACTGCATGATCTTATAGTTCATTTTCTTATTCCATGTAACTGTTCTGACATGAGGGACCTGAAACAGAATAAGTGTGTGCAGCTAGGCTGCAGCGAAGTGTGTTAGCATCCACAGAGAGGTTGACGGTCACCTGACCCCTCCCTGCAGGCCCGTTGTTTGGGTCACGCTGTCAGTGTGAGTGTCGTCTGTGATGGATGGTTCTTCCCAAGTCTGCTGTATTGGCTGGTTTCTAGCATACTTATTCCCTTAAATTGAAACAAAACGTTTTTGCAAAATGATCATTAACCTGTTTCTGGATTCTTCCTCCAGGCTTTCCAGCCTCTGGTGGACAGAGTGGGTTTGGGGTCCCTTGTTCCTGTGGAGTTTTTTGGAAGCAGGTCCCTTGCGTTTCTCCCGGACGGCACCGCGCTGCAGGTGTTTGAGGTACAGCACCGCTAACAGAAACATCTTGCGCGTTGTGGTGTGACCGTTATCGTTAGGGTATTTTTTTTTTTATGTTGTGTTCCGTTGAGCCTTCGTGTTTTTTTTTTTCTTTGCGAGCGTCAAGCAGAGTGTGATGGCACTTTCAGGTGGAGAAGGACCTGAGGCAGAACATCCTGCAGGATCAGCCCTCTGTCCGGGTGGCCATCGACTCCTGGCGCACTGACTTTGAGCTACAGGAAATTCTGAGGAAGGGTGGGTACTGCTGACGTTACATTTAGGGAGCTGCTTGTCCTGAAATATCTTTGCGTTTTATCTTCCTGCACAGCGGGACACCTGGTTAACTGACCTGGTGAATTTGAGGATTATGGTCTTTGTTGTTCTGACCTGCTAATGTTTTCATTTCTTTAAAAGTTCTTTGTCTCTTGGCCTTTTCACTTTCCCAGGATGCACTTGAGTGGTTGGTGGCTGAAGGCAGGTCTGGTTAACTCACCTGTGTGTCTTTCAGGCTCGTACACCATCCAGGGTCGCCAGGTTCGAGTGTACCAGCCGGAGTTTGAGGAGTCCTGGGCTCAGGGTCTGGTTTCCCATCACGACCCCCTGTCCCACATCATGGAGATTATCATGGATCAGGTGTGTGCCTGTCCTCACAGATCTTCCAATCACATATGCTCTAATCCCTATGGGACACATACCATTTTTGTATGCATGAATATCAAATTGTTTATCTTAAATTGTAGAGCTTAAATTTGACCTCCCTTCAAAATTGGCAATGATATTGTGGTAATTTTTTTTGTGATTGGTGTGAGAATGTGAGTGGTGTTTCTCAGATAAACTTGGCAAAGCATTCATTACAGTCCTGCAGAAAGGCAGTCAGAGACCTCCATTACTTTCAATGGCTTTTTTTTAAAAAGCTACATGAGTGTGACTGGCTACGTGATGACTCTTTGCAGTAAGCAGTCACACTTGTGTTGATAGTTTTATGCCACATTTGGTTAGGAGAATCAGTGGACAAATCATTCAGGGTTGGCAGTGTGTTTGAAGATGCTTATTAAAATGTGAGTTTATTGGGAAAAACTTGCTGATAAAGGTTGGAGAGCTTTAGAGGCATTCCAAGTGCTGCTTAGATATGAAGAAAAATAGTTTATGGGTGATGTGTATCTGTTCAGCAGCACAGCCTCTGGTGACTCTTAGTCAGCATGAGAAACAGAGACCTGCTGACTTTTTCATTGCAACTCCTGGAGCTTTTATTTTTTTATGTCTTTTGGTGCTAACCTTCCATCCCGATCCTGCAGAGCGGGGAGACGCAGGTGGTGGACCCGAGAGTGATTCACGTTATGCTGGCTGAAGATGACATGGTGAGGGCGCCTTCCAGGAAACCGGTGCTTTGTCCCCCGCTTCATCACCGCCGTCATTCCACCGCCTCTTCCTCCTCCGCAGGGTCAAGCAGGGAATGCTGGCAGGCGGCGGAAGGAGAGCGATGGGGGCAAGTGTGAGGCAGGGCGCCGGAGGAGGAACGTGTCTGAGAGCGACGGGGATGCGAATCTGAAGCGCTTCAAGGGCGAGGGTGGCGGCGACAGCCAGAATGGCAGCGGTTCCGGCGTGGCTGTGGATGAAGTAGTCGCCGTGGCCAATAGCAGCACTGCTACGACGGGGGTGGCTTGTGGACATGGTCAGACCTCCCCAAACCTTGCCCCCGTACCCACCCAGGGCCAGCCTGGCTTCCCTTTCTCCGCCTATGCCAAGGAAAATGGACGGACGCCGGTTTCGCAGGACCGTGTGGGCTCCGGCTACCTGCCAGCCCCTTGCGCCCCCACCCCACCCCCTCTTAGACCGGCCCCTTCCCCTTTCTCCAACACGTCCTTTCCTTCCCTGGGTCAGATGCCCAGCCTTGTCCCAGCTGCCTCCACTAAGACTGCCCCGGCCCTGGTGCCCGAAAGGGAGAAAGAGGGGCTTCTGACTGGGTTCCCCAGTACCACAGCTGCTCCGTCTCCAGTCAGCACCGCAGCCCGCGTCTTGCCCGAAGGAAGCGCACCTAGTATTACTAGTACTGCCACCACCCTAGGCTTTAGCCAAAAGCCTCCAACGTGGGTGGGGACACAGACTGCAGAGGTCAGTAATGTCAGTATGTCTGTGTCTAATTTAAAGTTTTGATCAGTAGGTGGTGTAGTTGTCAAGGACAAATTTGGAGTTTACCTAATAGACCCTTGAATCTTTATATTTATTTTACACCATCTTACCAGCTAAGTTAAGCATTATGGTGCAATTGGATTGACTTTTTTACGATGCATAACATACATTTTTGTGTATTTGTGTTCTAGAGCTCCAAGACGCCCCTTCTGACTGCAGCAGGTTTCCTTCTGCCCCAGTCCAACCCTCTGGGCACGTCGGTGTTTGGGGAGACTCGCCCTCAAACTGCTGCTCAGACCAACGGGGCGACGGCCCTGGACAGCCGGCCTTTTGGCTTTGGGTTCGCAGCCAAAGAGGAGTCTTTGCCGGAGACGGATTCGTCACAGAACCTGTTCTTCCAGTGCATGGCGCAAAAGCAAAGCCCGAGCCACGCTTCCGGCACCAACTACTTCACGGCCGTATCAGATAACCTTGGCAAGGAGCCACCCACCTTCTTTAAGCCCTCCACCTGCTCCGAGAGCCCACAGAAGACTGTGCTGACCCCCAATACAGTGGGCCTCTTCGGCTCAACGCCGACTGGTACCCTGCCTCCTCTCAAAGATCAGCCCAAAGCACCAGAGGGCCAGCTAGCCGGCAACGGCGTGGTGCTGAACAAGCCGTTCAGGGCCGAGGACACACCCAAGCTGGCTCCTGCCTTCTCAGCAAGCGGTGTTCCTGGACTGGGCTCTGGGCCTTTGAGGAGCCCCAGTCTCGCCATTGGACCTCTGGGTACCGGGACTATTGGCGGCAGTCCTACTGGTGTGACAGGGGCCCTGGGCTTGCTGGCGAGCAGCCAGCCGCAGGAGACGCACAAGAACCTTTTCCTGCAACCGCCCAAGCGTGAGGAACCCAGCAACCCCTTCCTGGCTCCCCCTGAAAAGCTGCCTCAGAGCCCTTTTAGTGGGCTTCCCACCGCCCCGCCTCACACCCCGTCCCCTGCCCTCAGCGGGGTGGTCAAGAGCCCTGTGGAGTCTCTCAGCATTCCTGCGGAGGCCAAACCTAACCTGTTCACCATGTCCGAGCCTCCGAAAGGCCTACTGTCCTCCCCGTTTTCAGGTTCCACTTCGACCCCTGTCTCATCCGTCCCTGCCTCTACGCTGCCCCAGAAGCCTCCGTTGGAGGTCCAGGAGGTCCTTCCCGCACCCAGGCCTAGTGCTGAGGGAACTGGGACCTCTGCAGGTCAAGAAGGCTCTGCGGTAGTGGGAGAGGCTGAGGCGCAGGTCCCTCCAGCCTCGGGCTTCTCCTCACTGTTCAGCGCTGTTGCTGGGGGCCCTGGGGACCGGGCCCTGGCATTTGAGCCTTCGCCCCAGAAGTTTCCCTTGGAAGACCGTGGCCACTCGTCCAAGCGTGACTCTGACTCCAGCACCAACAGTGACCTCTCAGATCTGAGCGAGGCAGAGGGTCTCGACGACGACCAGAACCCTGGTCCACACGGTACCTCTACCGAACGGACTATGGACAAGAGCAAGGGCAAGACGGCGAGTAAGAGCCGACCGCGTAACAAGCCTTTCAAAGGTAGGAGGGCGCCTGTCAGTCAACCAGATCCAATGATTCTCTTAAATAGTGTTTTCAGACGATACTGCAAGGAAGTTTGCATTTTTGCCAGTAATCATCTTTGATGTGTGTGGGTTAATGTCATACTTTTGAAAAATAACTTCCTTGTAACAAAGGGAGCATTCTACTGGAGTTATAATGCTGAAAAGCAGTTTGGGGAAATCATAGACCAGATCAAAGGCTAAGTTGGATATTTGGCTATAACTGGTAATGGGAGTTATTGAGCTCTGGTTGCTTGGGGGGCACTGAGATGGAGAGTAGGTGCAGATTGGGAGACTGGAGCTTCTATGCAAATCAAATAATATCTGATGGGTTGATGGTGAAGCTTTTCCCATCTGCTCGGTTGAGATACACTGCTCTCCAATCACTCTGCCTCCCTCCATTCCAGCAGTGGGTCAGTCCGTGCTGAAGGATGTCGCCAAGGTGCGTCGGCTGAAGCAGTCCGGCGAGGCCTTTCTGCAGGACGGCTCCTGTATCAACGTTGCTCCGCACCTCCACAAGTGCCGCGAGTGCCGTCTGGAGCGATACCGCAAGTTCCGCGAACAGGATGCAGACGAGGACGACTCCACAGTGGCCTGTCGCTTCTTTCACTTCCGCAGGTGACCAGCTCGGGTGGGGTTTAATAAATCTGTGTGTGTGTCAGCGTGTAGCTGGGATCGACAGTAATGTTTTTGTTGGGCCCTTCAGCGAAGCCCTTGACCTGCATGCTAGGTTTAACCTCTGACTTTCTTTCAAGGCTGGCGTTCACACGCAAAGGAGTCCTACGAGTGGAAGGCTTTCTGAGCCCCCAGCAGAGTGACCCTCACGCTATGGGGCTGTGGCTGCCCTCCCCAGCAACACAGGAGGGCCTTGATCTGGACACCTCCAAGTACATCCTGGCCAACGTGGGGGACCAGTTCTGTCAGCTGGTCATGTCAGAGAAGGAGGCCATGATGATGGTGGAGCCACATCGTACGTGTCATGATTTGTAGCCATCTTCTGAAATCTCGTTGTACTCTGGAATGTGCGTCTGGGTAGCAGAGCCCTTTGGTGACATTCTTGTCTCCCTGGGCTGTGCAGAGAAAGTGGCATGGAAGCGAGCGGTGCGGGGGATCAGGGAGATGTGTGACGTGTGCGAGACCACGCTCTTCAACATTCACTGGGTGTGCCGAAAGTGTGGCTTTGGCGTCTGCCTTGACTGCTACCGTCTTCGCAAAAGCCGGTCCCGGGAAGGTGAGGACCTGCCCCGCCCCACGTGCCGTGCAGCCAGTGTCTGTGTGAAGTCAACGGCCCATGAAAATCTCTGACATCCCTCCCCAGAGCCTGACGATGGATTCGATGATGATGTCTTCTCCTGGCTGAAGTGTGCAAAAGGTCAGCCCCACGAGCCCCAGAACCTCATGCCTACACAGATCATCCCCGGAACAGGTAACCTCTCCCCCTTTTTATCCTTGATCGCTGATCCCAGTTCAGTGGCCTGTACTACGAAGCGGGGTTACTGACTTATCGGGGTAACTTGTTGGATTTAAGGTAGTCTGGGCAAAATGTAAGTGAGCGAATATGAAGTCCATTTAAACTGTGGTACCTTAAATCCGACAAGTTACCCCGATAAGCCAGTAACCCCGCTTCGTAGTACAGGCCACAGGTCTCTTCTCTTGACCTTTCCCTTGTTGCCCCTTTCAGCACTCTACAACATTGGAGACATGGTGCACGCTGCTCGGGGCAAGTGGGGCATAAAAGCCAACTGCCCCTGTACGAGCCGGCACTCCAAACCACTTGCGCGCCCCAGTGCCCCCAATGGTCTCTCACAGGTAAGTTGCTTCCATTTTATAGTTTGCTACCCACCCAGCTTGGTTGAATGGTACCGGAAACCTGCATCTCCCGTTCCCTGTGTAGTCCGGGGCGGCGTCCAGCACCAGTGGTACCAGTGGGGGTGCTTCCAGCATGGCTACACCCAGGGCAGAGGGTGACTCCACTGCCCCCAAGCCAGAGTCAGGCACGGAGGGCTCTGGTGACACGGATGCTAGCGCCACTGCAGTGGCAGCACCTTCACCTAAGGAGCCGCGATCCTCCATGTCTGAAGGCTCCTCCCCCTCCGCCCTACACTGGCTAGCAGACCTTGCCACACAGAAGGCCAAAGAAGAGACAAAAGGTAGGAGATTCGAGTACCAGAAAAGTTCCCTGGAAACCATAGTAGTCAAGTGTACATGAAGCATGATCACAAGGCGCACTGCCTGTAGAAAGGAGTTACTAGTCATCACCAGATTTCGTTTTCCCTTCCTTCTATGGTCTCAGACTCTGGGTCTCTGCGTTCGGCGATCAACCGCGACACTCGCTCTCCCTTCGGCCTGGACTCCTTCAGCTCACTCTCCAAGGCACCGTCGTTGGGCTCCAGCCCCAAGCTCTTCAACAGCCTTCTTCTTGGCTCTAGCGCCACCCAGCCCAAGGCAGAGGGCTCCAGCCTGAGGGACCTGCTGAACTCCGGGCCCGGCCGGCTGCCTCAGGGATCTGCTGATTCCGGAGTTCCCTTCCCGTCCGTGTTCTCCACATCATCTGGGGTTCGCATCATGGGGGGATCATGGGGGGAACATTTTAACACCATAGATTCTCATGCAGCATGATACTCATTCCCTTAATTAGCGGAATTGGATCTAGAGCAAGAGTCACCAGAGGTTATTGAATGTCACACCCCTTCATCGCTTGTGCAGGGCGACAAGGCGAAGGGCAGCCTTCCTAACTTCCTCGACCACATCATCGCATCTGTGGTGGAGACCAAGAAGGCCGAAGCCCGTCGGGGGATGGCTGAGGGTGCAGAATCAGGGGCTGTCGGCCGGCGTGACAGCATGATGGGCCTCAGTGTCCTGGACCCCCACACGTCTCACTCATGGCTTTGTGACGGCCGGCTCCTCTGCCTTCAGGATCCCAGCAACGGCAACAACTGGAAGATCTTCCGAGAGTGCTGGAAACAGGGGCAGGTGAGGCATGGCTCCTTGCCAAGAACAGCCAAGCCTTCCTCCTGATGTTGGGCCCACATTGATGAAGTCGATCTTGTCTCCCTCTGCAGCCGGTCCTGGTGTCCGGGGTCCACAAGAAACTCAATGGCTGCCTGTGGCAACCAGAAGCCTTCAGCCAGGAATTCGGCGACCAGGACGTTGACCTAGTGAACTGCAGGAACTGCGCCATCATCTCCGACGTTAAAGTCCGAGAATTCTGGGATGGCTTCCAGGTGATCTCTAGTGAGTATCGATATGGGGAATCGATGTGCCGCCGCCTTGAAGTTGCTGTGCCGTAATTGTTTTGACCTGTATTGCCTCAGAGAGGTTACAAGGTGCTGACGGACAGCCAATGGTCCTGAAGCTGAAGGACTGGCCTCCAGGAGAAGACTTTCGAGATATGATGCCTAGTCGGTGAGATACTCACTCACACACACACTCACAATTCTTACATAATGTAGGTCCCGCCAGTGAAGGATTATGGGAAACGGGACAGAACGTGTCAATAAACTGAAACTGGTATTTTCTACTGGCAGGTTTGATGATCTGATGGACAACCTGCCCCTCCCAGAATACACCAAAAGGGATGGCCGTCTAAATCTTGCTGCCCGCCTGCCCAACTTCTTCGTAAGGCCGGACCTGGGACCGAAGATGTACAATGCATATGGTAAGGGCATTCCAGATCACGTGATGCTGTGCATTTCTGGGCACTGAGTGTCTGACTGACTGCCATTTTTCTCTGGTGACAAGGTCTGATCTCCACGGAGGACAGGAAGGTGGGAACGACCAACCTGCACCTGGACGTCTCCGACGCTGTGAATGTGATGGTGTACGTGGGCATCCCACATGGTGAGGAAAACCAGGAGCAGGGTGAGTAGACGATTGGCTCTTCAATTCTTGTGGGTACTGTTCGGCACGTGAGTGTCCTTGAACACGTCTTGTTTTTTTTTTTTGTTTTTTTTCCTTTTGTGTGATTTAGCCTTATTTGTATTTTTATCTTCAAATTTGCTTAACTAACATTGTCAGTCATATGGCCTATTCTGACATGCATATATTTTTTTAACTCTGATGCTAAATCCCGCCATCTTCCATAACCACATACAGGACTGGGTGATGCTTGAATATGGAATATGTAGGAAATATTTCCCTTAAAGTATATTCTGGCTGAGAGCAGTTAATCCCAGTGGTTGTTAAGACTGTTCCCTGGAATTGAGTTTCACTGACACTGCAGCACTCGTCTGTCGCTCGGCGTTAGGCCTGGGGCTCCCCCCGTATGAGAACGAGGTCACCACATACGACAGAATTAGCGCTATTTTCAGTCAGATGAGACCTGTCCCCAAGGATCGCACATCCATCTTCACCATCCCTACCACCCCATTCACACAGCAGCCTCCCCTGCACCCATGTGCCTCTCGGGTACTAAACCCCTCCCCCCCCCCACGACATTTCTGCCCCTGCATGCTACTCTAACCTCCATCTTCTGGTACAGGGTGGAGACTGTAGACTTCTCTGCCGTACAAAGGTTTGTGTTGATTGTCGTAAAATTTCTCGTTTACAGAAGCAGACACCTCTGGATATAAAGGTGTGTGCCTTTTACTGTTGTATTACTTCTTTAGCATGTCCCTTTTGGTTTACTGTTTTCTCCACTTGCCAACATCCCCCCCCCCCCCCCCCCCCCCCCCCCAGTCATCTGTGTTCCCTGTGCTGTGATTGATCAGCCAGGGCTGCTTTCACCACAAAGCCCCTCCTCTGATGTCTTGTGTCCATCATCCCTATGACAACCTGTGTCTCTTCCTGCTGGGCTCCGCATTTCCCTTTTCACGAGTGAAAGATTTCGGCATCTTTGTGAAAGAGTGTGGTGGCAGCCTCTTGTTCTCCTGCCTGGGGTGTCGTGGTGCCGTACGGGGTGGAGGGGCAGCTAACCCTGGTCTCCCCATCTGAGACAGCAGTCTGCTGTGCGCCCCACTGGCAGTAGTGTCTGCTGCCTGGATTCGTGTGGTTACAGCCCTGGGGGGTACCTGGGGGCTGTGGATGAGTGCCCCGTAGATCCTGAACACCTCGGCCTACTTTCACTTTTCTCTTTCCATTAACACCCCCTTAAGACGTCGGACAAACTCTGTTGCCGTTTTCTGCTCGCAGATAGTGGAGCTCTGGGTTTCTGCATTAATACTCATTTTTTTACAAAAGCCTGGAGTTAGTAAAGAACAGTCCTCTGGCTACAGCCTAAGTGCCATTTCTTGCTAGAGCGGAGGCCCTGTTAGTCTTGCTGAACCAGAGCCAGTTTGCACACTCATTCTCCTAGGGTGGCCTGAAGTGACGTCACGGCTGCTCTGAACAGTGCCGAGTCTCTGTAGATGATCCAAATGTGACACATGCTTATGATTTATCAGCCCCCTCTTTTCAAGATGGATTAAATGAATGTTCATGACCCTTTATCTTAAGCAGGGGTGGGCGATATGGCCAAAACGTCATATGATGACTTTGGTTAGAATCATGAGCACAGTATAGATCACACTTATTTTTGTTTACAAATCAGCCGAACAAGAATGATATGGTAATTAGGGGTGTAACAGGGTGTCTGTCAATGCTGCTGCAACCGACTAATACAAAACTAAAATTTTACTTTAAAGTAAATATTTTCATTTAAACAAATAAAATATCATTAAGATGCACATTTAGAGAATTAACTGTACCTGTTCTGTACTGTATTCACATTAGCAGCTTGTGCAACACAAATATTGTCTCAAAGCACACAAAGCATAACAATATAAATATCCATCATGGAGCAGCACCTACACCTGTGCTGTTTGTATTCACATTCACAGCTTCCAGCCTCACATTACGATGTACGCGCATGCGTTCTGGTGCGGCTTCGTCCGCCCCCTTCTGAATGTCCCTCGGGGGAAACCCCCAAACACACAAAGGTTCCGCACTTGCTGCATTCATTTGGGACACATGCATGCCGAACCGCAAGACCTGTACTAAACATTTTTGGTACGAATAAATGTACCAGTAGAAATTCTAATTAACCATTTAAACACTTGATCAGCAATTCTGACCTTTATAAGAAATATGCTTTCTAGCATTATAATCAGGGATGGACATAACTGGTACCCAAGTATGCATCACTTATGTGTGTACTTGTATGCATTTGCGTTATAATGGGTAACTACACAATTTTAACCTTTACACTGGGAATGAAGTACGCACTTGCCATATAAAGGTCAGAATGGGGGGCCATTTCTCGTCATGACAGCACCATTACTGTTTAGGTACATTTGTCCTTCTATGACTAAGTGAGGCGCATATCTCTTTATTCACCGATTGCGTGCCAGTTCTCTCAATGCCTGATTATAATAAATAGTTAAGGTATGTAAAATGCTATACATGTAAAAAAAAAAACCAACTCAACAAAAGTGCCTTTTTTCAGAAGTTTAAGTACAAATGAATGTTTTTCACTTTGGTCAATAACCTTGCGCTTCTGGACTGTTTGACATACATTCTCATTTGTTTACGTTTTGTAAGATTTTGAATTTTTCGATGTGCAAACATGTAGCCTTTTTTTAGAACCACTTCATCAGCCATGCCGCACACTGTTTATTTGACCCGCTTGTGAACTGTGTGTTTACCGTGTGACACAAGTGCCATATTTTTAGCAGTTCGGTGACGTACGTAAAGCCAGTTCGTTTTTTTTTTTGTTTACGGAGTTAACCAGCTGGTTAAAAAGGTTCAATTATGTTTTTAATTCAAGATCTAGTCACTAAATTGAGATGCGCTGAGATTTGATAACTGACAAAAATGAGATTTACAGGCAGTGAGAAGATATGCAGGCTGAAATTACTTTCATATCTGTCTTGTAGTTTTATTGCAGAGTCTGACCCTGCAGGTATCATGTGATAGGTGCTTGCAGGTTTGTTCAGTTGTCATAATAGTGTTAAGTATTGTTGTATTGCAATAACTGAAATGCTTATCGTACTTACACTTTGAACTGGTCACGATAAATTCATATCGCCCACCACTATCTCAGTGTATGATTCCACTATATTAGATCACTACATTGAATGTAAAATATTACTACAGTTGTAGTCAAAAGTTTACATCCATTTTTATGTAATGGACATGTATGCCATGACAGTGTTGGTTTTAATAATGTCTTTTTTGGTGACAGAATGAATGTGTAACAGAACTCACAGTAAATTTAAAACTTGTGCTTAATTGTTTTTGGTCAAAGATATTGTGGAAATCCTTAAAAGCCCAAAACTGCCATGACATAATGTCTGTTTTATAAGTGTATGTAATCCTGTATGAATTGAAGGAAATATGTTTTTATTCATGCCTCAGCAAGTTAAAATGGCTGTAGGAATATAGAACTGTATCGATACCTTAACAGTCTTTGTTTTGACTTTTTAAAGATGGTTGTGATGTAAAATTAAGTTCTTGTAAGCTTTTAGAATTTTAGTTTCATAAACTTCTGGAAATCGAAAGTGATATTAGAGTAGTTTGGGGGTGTGCCGTCTCCTGGCGGCAGCTCGTCGGGCACACCAGCATAACAGCTGAAGTATCTGCTCGGTCTCGCCTATCAGAAGTTATGACGACCATCGAGGAGGGCGACGTGGATGAGATGACCAAGCGCCGGATCTACGAGGGGAAGGAGAAGCCAGGAGCCCTCTGGCACATTTACGCCGCCAAGGATGCAGAGAAGATCCGGGAACTGCTTCGCAAAGTGAGCAGGGAGGGTCTGCGAGGAGACTGGGCCGTCCATAGACCAGCTGACAGGCCATCTTCACAGTAGCTCACTATCAGCTCCCTGACGTTTTGTGCTCTCCTTCTGCCTTGTAGGTGGGTGAGGAACAAGGGCAGGAGAACCCACCTGACCACGACCCCATCCACGACCAGAGCTGGTACCTGGACCAGGTGCTGCGTCGCAGGCTGCTGGAGGAGTATGGCGTGCAGGGCTGGGCCATCGTGCAGTTTCTGGGGGATGCTGTCTTTATCCCTGCTGGAGCACCGCACCAGGTAAGGCTAGGGGGGCGGTCTGTCTCAAGGCGCCATACTTTGACAGGAAGAAGGTACTGCTGCGAATGGATAAACGTTGGTGCTTCAGTTCACGGCATTCTGCCCTCTGCCTGTTTCTTCAGGTTCACAACCTGTACAGCTGCATCAAAGTAGCCGAGGACTTCGTCTCACCCGAACACGTGAAACACTGCTTTAGACTGACCCAAGAGTTCCGACACCTGTCCACCACACACTCCAACCACGAGGACAAGCTACAGGTGTGTGCGTGGGAGAGCGGGCCTGCCTGTTTCCTTCTAGCGGGAAATAGGCTCTATGCATGCACAGCTTCCGGCTTCTATACGCCTGTCAAAAAGCAGAACAACATGGCTGTCTCACACTCTGTAATCTTTTGGGTTATCTGTCTTTTTAACAGTAGTGTCATACTCCTTTGTCAGAGTTAACCTAGTACATCATCAAATGGTTTTATTTTCTCTACCCTCTTAACAGATTAAAATTTTTCTCACCCCAGAAATGCCTCAGTCCCTTACGTTTAATGTAATGCCTGTTATCTTTGCTTCTTTCTCATTGCTTCTTAATTCAATGTTACTGTTTTGCCTCTGCAAAGTTTTTTTTTCTTTTCTTCCCCTCGTTAAAGAGAAGCTTGATGAGAACAGCGTGTTCAGCATATGTTGGTTTGAAATACCTTTTGATTGCTGGTATAATGTCTAACGGAAATATGTCACACAGATTGCACTTTAGAGTAATAGGCTCTATGCACGCAATGTTTTTTGTACACATTGCACAGGAATTGTAACACGCCGAATGACCGTGTAAGGAGATGTACTTCATTGGTAGTTGACCCATACCGTTGTTTAATACTGGGCTCAAGCTTTAGTGATTTAAAGCCTGATTTTCCACAAACGGCCGGGGTGCAGCGGCTAAGGGGGAGGGCGCTGTGGAAGCACTGGAGGCCGGTGTTGAGCATGTGCGATCTGTCGTCCGCAGGTGAAGAACATCATATACCATGCGGTGAAGGATGCTGTCGGGACACTGAAAGCCCACGAGGCCAAGCTGTCCCGCTCCTAGTCCGTCCGTCCCCCCCCCCCCACTGAACTGCTTCAGGGGCTGGATGCCATTTGGGGGGAGTGTAGCTGGATGAAGAGGATGAGACTCTCTTTTGTTACCCAGGACTTGGCTACTGGGACAGATGGACACTCCATCAGTGTTAACTTTTCCTTTGACTCGATCGAAAAGGTTCCTTTTGTATGTGAGGTCACTGTTTGCGTTCTCGTGGCAGACTGCGTTCAGGAGGGTCTCGCGGCAGCAGGCGCTGAGCTGTCTTCTGAATGCATGTAGTTTTTGACTGTATTAGAAAATTCAGTATGATGGTTTTTATTGCCCCCCCCCCAAAAAAAAAGTTATCTATGGCTTTCGAATGAGGAACATCAGCTGCAAAATTTAAAAATTCTTCTTTCTCCATTCCTTCCCGTGAATATAAACTTGAGCAGTTAAAGTTATTAGACCAAAGTTGTTTTTTTCTGTTCGAAGGCCAATATATTGATACTGATTACTATTAGCAGTCTGTATGTTTGTTTTTTTTTTCTTTTTCAAAATAAATTTTTCAAAAGAGGAATTGTCGCACTTATTCTGCCATGAAACGTTGATACCCAGGACGATATTACTTTTGGTTCTGGTGACCAGAACCATCTTGTGAAGACCCGGTGTGTTCCACCTACCAGCATGCAAGGCTGCTGATGGAGGGGAACCAGGTCCATTATCCCCAAGTCCTGGGTCCAGCGGGGCCCAAAGGGGCCTCTAACTTTTGGATAATCTGCTGGAACAATTCAGAAATAGATATTTGTGAAAACTTTGTATTGCATTTAAAAATCACATAAAAGCTTATAAAAATATCTTGTTCTCCTTGACATAATGGTTGGAAAGAACTTTATTTTTCCTCCCTATAATGCAGAAAGTGTCTGTCACGTGGTGGTAACATCAAAAGTGTAACATTTAGCTGGCCCCTCCCCCTCCAATCAGCTGTCAAGTTGGTAATTAGTCAAAAGTCAGATACTCGGAAAAGAATAAAACGACAAAGAGAGAATGACAGCAGAGGTGCGATGGACTGGCCAGACATTTCCCATGTGAATCTGACTTAGAGATCATTAAATAATGAGTCTGTTATACATTAACCAACAGACAAATTCAAAGCATTAAGTCTGTAATGGGACTAAATTTTGAGGGTGGGGCTTCCCCATTAACTCAGCCTGTATTTTGTTTAAATGATGGATGCTTTAGTGAGAGCTCTTTGCTGGGTGCGGATGGGACATAGCTGTGTGTGTGTGTTATAGCCAGTCAGCGGCCTGTGTACCATCAAAATGTGGTGGGGGTGGGGGTGTGAGATCATCTTGTCCCCGGGCACAAGCATGAGCTAATCAGATCTATAAACAATGTGTTAATTTGGATATCCAACCATCTTCCAAACACTTATCCTGGTCAGGGTCACCTGGAACGTATTCTGGGCAGCATAGTACCTAAGGCTGGAGTAGACCCTGTGTACATACATTAGTCTGTCTATCTTTGGATTGCAGATTGAAACCCGCACGACACAGGAAAAACAGGCAAACTCCACACAGAAAATGGAGGTGGACTCAAATCCATAACCCTGGAATTATGAGGCAACAGTGCTACCCCATTTACTTTGCTATATCATTGTCAAATAGGATTTGTTTGCTATTGCATGAACCTTAAACTTGTCACCTTAAGTTCAAGCTATTGATAAACCAGAATCTCTCCCGAGTGTAGAGGAAACTTGTGGAATGTGGTTTTTAATGAAGAAAATGAATGGACATTAAATCTAATATGGCTTGAAATGTCTTAACTACCTTTGTATGTTGGGTTGGGCCGAGAGAGGCTTCAAGGCCACTCTCCAGTGTTCGCAATAAACCTTATTACTGAGCTTTCAACTAAATTACCATAAGCTATTCGTTGAACAGAGCACGAATATTAGCCTTGATGAAAAACGATATGCATTTTATATGTATGTATCGCTGTATGAATATTTTGATAATGAGTCGTGGAGCATCGTAAGTGAAATTCTGTCACTGAAAGGTTCTGTTAACTCTCTGAATTGACGGGTATTTTCCGTCGGCCAAACGGAGGGCGGCGTGCGCGGCCTTTAAGAGAAGCGCAGGTCCGCCGCCGATGTACCGAGGAGCCGCGGCGTGAGTAAGCGCAGCAAAGCCCGAACCCGCCTGTCTCGCATCACCAAGATAACGAGCTCGGCAGGAAGTATGGGGGGCTGATACAGTCTGCATTCAGGGAGACGCCTATACCTATCAACATGGTGTCGTGGATCATCTCAAGGATAGTGGTGTAAGTGTACCATCTGCATAGCATCGCTCCACTGTGTCTGCGGTGGCCCGCTTGTCCAGACGACTTCTCTGCAGCTGTCTGATCTCCGGCTAACGCCAGCCTGCTAGTGTTGATGGATTAATCACTTGCTGCTTTTAAAATGCTCTTACACAGAAATCGAGCTTTAAAACTGAAATTCATGCATGCGTCTAATTCGACCAGTTTAGTGTTTCGTCTGTTTTTATTCCATCATCATCATTATTTATTGCAAACGGCGTGTGAATTCATATCATTTTAAATCCCAGCGTAAAAAGATAGGGGTTGATGGTTACCGTTTGTTGGTGGAGCGTGAGCTTTGGACCTAGTCCGTTGCTGGTTGCGCAGTGTTAGTTTATATTAGGTGTTACGATCAGCGCTGATCGTGCGCCTATCCAGGGATTTTACCGTTTTGGCATTACGAGCGTCCTGGCATTTATGAATCATCGGCCTCGGTCTGTATGGAAGCTCCTTCTGGAGACCTTATTTTCGCGGCGTGCCGTGTATGCACCCGAGGTTGTCTCCCCTTAGAGCCGCGCCGTGATGAATGCGTGTTTTTTGACGCCTTTATACGGCGGTGGGCACCCAGCTACGCCGGTCCGTGCGGCCGCACCAGGCCTCCGCATCGCCATGCTTGTCCTTTGGAGCAGCACTCGCGGGGCCGCTTATCTGACCTGAATGTGTCGATGATCCCCTCCGGCTTGAAAAGGGAAGACAGCGTCCTTTTATTTGTGTCTGCAAAAAAATTATACCAGTGTGCTATTAAAAAGGAATTGATTCTCAAATGAGAACTGATACTTGATGATGCATTTTAAACTACATCAAATGCAGCATAGGGATTGATTGAGGATTAGGTGTGACTTTTCTGTCCCCCACCGAAAAACCAGGGACATGGAATTAGCTGGTTCCCCTGCCCTCTCACCCCTGGCTGCTTGCCCTGCTGCCACATGTGACCGTAGTCATCTTCAGGGTCCAATGGGTTAAGGCAGGGGCGGGGAACCTGTTCCAAGGAGGGCTGGTGTGGGAGCCGGTTTCTGGGATGACCTCTCAATCAGCCAGTAATGAAGCAGTGGTTCGCAACTCCAGTCCAGGGGTCCCGCTGCTATTGGCTGATTGAGATGCCATCCCAAAAACCCACACCCACACCTGGATCCGGTTCCCTGCCACTGGGTTAAGGTCTCAGCCAAAGCAAGAATTAAATAAGAGTTAAAACGGTTATAGTACATTTAATCAAGTCTGTCTCCTCAAACTGTTATGGGTTGTATTATTATACAATCACAGCACCGGTGCTCAGTGCATATATACTTCTATTGCATTTGTGTATTTTAATAGGGATCCTCTGTTGTTGCTGTCTGGTGGGGGGGATCGATTGATATTGGTCTATAAACGGCTACTATCACTTAGGAAAAGTGGTGATATTGGGTTTGGGAGATGAGTCACTGTTCAGGCAGAGCTGAGTCATTTTATCTGCTTCTCCGTGCCCTGGAGGGGGCGGAGTCACCCAGCCGGGTTGGTGGGTGACATGTGACGCTGGGTTGGTGTCCAGGGAGCGCTGAGCTCTATGAACACTTTGCTCTGCTTGTGCTACTGAATACTTTTTGTTTTTTAACGCTGAGTACTGTCACTGGCAGTTTTACCTGCTTTACAGTGTAGATAATCGCTGAGTACTGTCACTGGCAGTTTTACCTGCTTTACAGTGTAGATAATCGCTGAATACTGTCACTGGCAGTTTTACCTGCTTTACAGTGTAGATAATCGCTGAATACTGTCACTGGCAGTTTTACCTGCTTTACAGTGTAGATAATCGCTGAA